CAGGGGACACGGGTTCGTGCTCCAGTCCGGGAGGATCCCACATGCCGCGGAGCGGCTGGGCCCATGAGCCATGGCCGCTGAGTCTGCGCATCCGTAGCCTGTGCTCTGCAACAGGAGAGGCCACAACAGTGAGAGGCCCGCGTACCGCCAAAAAAAAAAAAAAAAATTTAAAGCTCAATTTCCAAATCTCATGTTGCTTATACACTTGGTACAATTTAACAATTGTTGTTAAGTACTCTCCTTGTTAGGGCTGAAGACATCTACCAGGGAAAACAAGGGATTTGGGGTGGTTTACCTGGCAGACTGGGGCTGCATATTGACTGAATATTTTGGCCATGACTCAGGGTTCCTCTGCTCCCTGAAATCCCAAGATCATGATAGACCACACTGAGTCCTCTTTTATAATCTCTTTGCCAGTAGGAAATCCGAATGGGGTGGTGGGATGGCCCATTTTTCCTGGGTCCAGTTACCTAATATCTCCAACTAATCGAGATTTGCAAACACCCTCTGCTCCACCCACGTTTCCTCACCATTGAATTGGATCCAGCTGATCCAATTATTGCTTGATTATATCCTGTACTTTTCTACTTGCAAAAATATGTATTTCCATATGCTTCCTATCTAACAGGACCACACCTCTTAGATGGGATTGAATCATGCATACCTCCCCTGGTTCCTAGGTCTCAATAGGCAAATTGAGACACACCAAGGGTAGAGTTGGGTTGAGCCTAAATTGGGCCAAGGTCAAGATAGGGAGGTCATGGTTAAAAAGAGATCAAGAGCAGGGGCTCTGGATGAGGCTGGCTAAAGGTTGGTCGATTTTGTTTATTTTTTTAAAGAACCAGCTTTTAGTTTTATTGATCTTTTCTATATTTTTTTTTAGTCTCTATTTCTTTTATTTCTGCTCTGATCTTTATGATTTCTTTCCTTCTACTAACTTTGTGTTCTGCTTGTTCTTTCTCTAGTTCCTCTAGGTGTAAGATTAGGTTGTTTATTTGAGATTTTTCTTGTTTCCTGAGGTAAGCTTGTATCACTATCAACTTCCCTCTTAGGTCTACTTTTCCTGTGTCCCATAGGTTTTGGATCATTGTGTTTTTATTTTCATTTGTCTCTAGGTATTTTTTTTTATTTCCTCTTTGATTTCTTCAGTGGTCCATTGGTTGTTTAGTAGAATATTGTTTAGCCTCCATGTGTTTGTGTTTTTTGCAGTTTTTTTCTTATAGTTTATTTCTAGTCTCATGCCAGTATGGTCAGAAAAGATACTTGATTTCAATTTTCTTAAATTTGCTGAGGCTTGTTTTGTGGCCTAGCATGTGATCTATCCTGGAGAATGTGTACTCAAAAAGAATGTATATTCTGCTGCTTTTGGATGGACTCCTCTATATGTATCAATTAAGTCTATTTGGTCTAATGTGTTATTTAAGGCCTGTGTTTCCTTATTGATTTTCTGTCTCAATGATCTGTCCATTGATGTAAGTGGGGTGTTAAGTTCCCCTACTATTATCCTGTTACTGTTGATTTCTCCTTTTATGTCTGTTAATATTTGTCTTACATATTGAGGTGCTCGTATGTTGGGTGCATATTTATTTACAATTGTTATATCTTCTTCCTTTGATCCCTTAATCATTATGTGGTGTCCTTCTCTGTCTCTTGTAACAGTCTTTATTTTAAAGTCTATTTTGTCTGATATAAGTATTGCTACTTTGGCTTTCTTTTGATTTCCATTTGCATGGAATACAATATAGAGACGCAGGAGGCATGCAGGTTAAACTGATGTCTTGAGCAACTACCTGCTCAGAAATGGGGGTGTGGAGGCAGGGTCCTACTGAGACACAGATGCTCTGCTAGACAGGATGTCCCTCCCTCCCTAGCAGCTTTTCTCACCCATAAAGTGGAGATAATCATCATAACTTCCATACTAGGTGAGATAGTGCATGTAAAGATCTTAGCACAGAGACCACACATCAGAAGCCCTCGGTAAGTGATAGCTGCTATTATTATTTTGTATTATTTTTCTTTTGCAGTACGCAGGCCTCCCACCGCTGTGGCCTCTCCCGCTGCGGAGCACAGGCTCCGGACGCGCAGGCTCAGCGGCCATGGCTCACGGGCCCAGCCGCTCCACAGCACGTGGGATCCTCCCAGACCGGGGCACGAACCCGCGTCCCCTTCATCGGCAGGCGGACTTCCAACCACTGCGCCACCAGGGAAGCCCGATAGCTGCTATTATTAATATCAGTATCATCATTGTCCCTTCAGGTCACCTGGCCTGCTGACTGCCAAACCCGCCTAGGCCCTGGGCTGGGCCCTGGGCCCTGGAAACAATTTACAATGATGGCATCAGTCCGGCCTTTAAGAAATACAGTGTGACCAGCCACTTCTTACCTTCTGTAGAAGTCACTGGTGTAAATGCCAGAGGAAAGGCCCTCAGAGTTGGGGTCCCTTTGAAGGAACAAACACTGGTCGTGCCAGCTCTTAACCCTGTGAGGTTAGATAAAACACATAGGACTTCCCTAGTGGCACAGTGGTTAAGAGTCTGCCTGCCAATGCAGGGGACATGGGTTCAAGCCCCGCCCCAGGAAGATCCCACATGCCGTGGAGCAACTAAGCCCGTGTGCCACAACTACTGAGCCTGCGCTCTAGACCCCCGAGAGCCATAACTACTGAGCCAGCGTGCCACAACTACTGAAGCCCACACGCCTAGAGCCCATGCTCCGCAACGAGAAGCCACCGCAATGAGAAGCCCGCGTTCCACAACGAAGAGTAGCCCCCGCTCACTGCAACTAGAGAAAGCCCACATGGAGCAATGAAGACCCAAATGCAGCCAAGAATAAATTTTAAAAAAATTAAATCTTAAACAAACAAACAAAAAAGACCCAAAGGGAATGACAACACCTAACTGGCCTCTGGAGGGCCCAGGTTTTTAAAGCCCTGGTATCAGATTCCTTGGGGACTTGCTGAAATGCAGATTTCTGGGCCCCACTCCAGACTTACTGAGTCTGAATCTGAGGGTTGGGACTAGAAACTGGATTCTCAAAGATCTCTCCAGGTGATCTTTTTTCTTTTCCCCAGTAGACTGTCTTTTTAGAGTAGTTTGCAGAAAAATTGAGATGACAGTACAGAGAATTCTCACATACTCAGCACGAAGTTTCCCATATTATCGTATTATTAACAGATCAGTGTGATACATTTGTTACAATTAATGAACCAATACTGATATATTCTTAACTAGTGTCCAGAGATTATTTCGATTTCCTTTGTTTTTACCTATAGTCCTTCTTTTCTGTTCCAAGATCCCATAGTACATTCAGTTGTCAAGTCTCTTCAGGCTCCTCTTGACTATGGTGGTTTCTAAGACTTCACTGCTTCTGATGACCTTGACAGTTCTGAGGACGGCTCAGGTATTTTGTAGGAGGCCCCGCTACCGGCATTTGTCTGATGTACTTCTCAGGATTATATTGTGGTTATGGGGTGTTGGGAGGAAGACTAGAGGTGAAGGGCCATTTTCATCACATCCTATCAAGAGCACATACTTGCAGCATGACTTATCATTGTTGTTGTTGACCTTGATCATCTAGCTGAGGCAGTACTGACCCAGCTCCCAACTCATTTTTATGCCAGAGAAACAAGAGGTGATAGAAGGCCTCTAACCCTGTGACCACCCTCTTGGGTGGCACCATTCAGGAGAAAGTAGCCACAGCAAGGGTACAGCTCAGACGTAGAGAGCAGTTCTTACAGGACAAGCACCTGCCCATGACTTCATTTGTCCTCACAACAGCCTCATGAGGTGGGTGAAATCATTGTTCTGTTCTGCATGAGGGGCTGAGCTTTTGAGGCCTCATCATCTCGGCACTTCTCCAAGCTGCAGGCTGCCCGAGTGAAGGTGAGGGAGCCTCAGTGGCTGGGCCCCCTCTCCCAGGGGGACAGCAGGGACAAGAGACATGCAGTGCTCCCCTTCAGGGCCCAAATCAGAGCCCTGGCCAGAGGCTAACTCGCTCCTTCTAGCCCAAGTGTTCTGAGTGGGAAATACCCACATGGAAAGAGGTTAAAAGACAATCATGCCAAGGAATTTCCCTGGCGGTCCAGTGGTTAAGACTCCGCGCTCCCACTGCAGGAAGTGTGGGTTCGATCCCTGGTCAGGGAAGTAGGATCCCACGTGCCGTGCAGCCAAAAAAAAAAAAAAAAAAAAGACACATGAAGCCAAGGTGTCCAAAACCAAGAGAATGATACTTTTTTTTTTTTTTTGCGGTACGCAGGCCTCTCACTGTTGTGGCCTCTCCCGTTGCGGAGCACAGGCTCCAGATGCGCAGGCTCAGCGGCCATGGCTCATGGGCCCAGCCGCTCCGCGGCATGTGGGATCCTCCCAGACCAGGGCACGAACCCGTGTCCCCTGCATTGGCAGGCGGACTCTCAACCACTGCGCCACCAGGGAAGCCCACATTTCCTGTTTAAAAAAAAATATATATATATATATTTGTTTGGCTATGCCGGATCTTAGTTGCAGCACTCGGGATCTTCATTGCCACGTGCCAGATCTTTTTAGCTGTGGCACGCAAACTTAGTTGTGGCATGTGGTATCTAGTTCCCTGACCACGGATCAAATCTGGGCCCCCTGCACTGGGAGCATGGAGTCTTAGCCACTGGACCACCAGGGAAGTCCCTACATTTCCTGTTGGCTACTATTACAGTGCAGCCATGAACACCTATGTACCTAAAACATTCTGCAACCTACTGCAGAAGACAGATTCCTGAAACTGTACCCGCTAAGTTATAGGGCAGGAGTATTTGTTTGTTGGTTTATTAAAGTATAGTTGATTTAAAATGTGGTGTTAGTTTCAGGTGTACAGCAAGGTGATTGTTATATATATTCTTTTTTGTATTCTTTTCCCTTATAGGTTATTAAAAATATTGAGTATAGTTCCCTGTGCTATACAGTAGGTCCTTGTTGGTTAGGGCAGGAGTATTTTATTTTATTTTACTCTATTGTATTTTGGCCACGCTGTGAGGCTTGTGGGATCTTAGTTCCCTGACCAGGGATTGAACCTGGGCCACGGCAGTGAAAGTGCTGAATTCTAACCACTGGACCACCAGGGAATTTCCTGGGGCAGGAATATTTCAAATGTTGATACATACTACCAAATTACTCCTTAAAACGTTACACAGTTGTATATTCCTACCAACAGTACAGATTGCCCATCTTCTCACATCCTCCCCAATACTGGGTGTTATCTTTTCTTAATTTATTTGAAAGGCAAGGAAAAGTCATCTCATTTTCATCTGAATGTCTTTCATTATTAGCGAGGTTGAGCATCATTTCAGGTTTACTGGCCATTTGGATTTCTTTTGCTGTATAAACACACAATTCATGTCATTTGACCCATTTTCTTGTCATCTTTTTCTTATTGTTTTATAAGAGCTCTTTATATATTATAGATATTAGTTCTTAAGTATATAACGAATATTTTTATCAGTCTGTCATTCGTTTAGCATCTTTTCCACTGTACAGAAGTTTTTTTCTTTTTAACTAAGCCAAGTCTGTTGATCTTTTTTTTTTCTTTTGGCCGTGCCATGCAGCTTGCAGGATCTTAGTTCCCTGACCAGGGATTGAACCCAGGGTCCTGGCAGCGAAAGCACCAAGTCCTAACCACTGGACCACCAGGAAAGTCCCTGTTGGTTTTCTGTCACATGTTAAAAAGCTCCCGCCCACCCCCCACGTTCTGCAGTCATCAGTTCTGGCTCATGAACAATTCTTATCTTTATACACCCATTGCTCCACCAGCAGCCTGGCCTTTCAATGTCCCACATGGCTCTCCAGCCCCAAGGCAGAGCTTGGCCCCTCGGAGTCCCAGGGCCAGCCTGGACTGAAGGGCTACTGGGTGCCCAGCCCCGGCCTCAAGTTATTCTCCAGCTCTGCTGCCACTCGGGGTGCTGCAGACTGGATGGCATCCTGGATGCTGGGTAGGTCCCATTGGGTCCTTAGGAGGGCATCGTCCAGGGTGAAGAAACCATCGCGTGTACGCCGCACCTGGGTGCAGACAGCGGTGCTCTTCAGTTCCAGGCCGATTTCGTGCACCAGCCTTCGCAGCTGCTTCTGCGTCTCATGCATGCACTGCACCTCTGCGAGGGACACACAACAGAGGTGGTGGTCAGAAGCACAGCCTCTGGTGTCTGCTGATCTAGATCCACACCCCTTGAGACCTCCTGGCTATGTAATAACCTTAGCAAGACAACTTACTTCTCTAGGGCTTTGTTCTTCAAAATGTAGCCCAGGGTCGGTCCTGAAAGTTTGTTAGACATGCAGAATCTCAGGCCCCACCCAGACCTGCTGAGTCATAATTTGCCTTTTTTTTTTTTTTTTTTTTGGTCTCGCAGCTTGTAGGACCTTAATTCCCCAACCAGGGATTGAACCCATGTCCCCCTGCAGTGAAAGTGCCAAGCCCTAACCACTGGACCACCAGGGAATTCCTAGAATTGGCCTTTTAAGAAGAATCCCAGGTTGGGAGTTCTCTGGCGGTCCACCAGTTAGGACTCAGTGCTTTTACTGCCGGGGCCTGGGTTCAATCCCTGGTCATGGAAGTAAGATCCCGCAAGCCATGCGGCATGGCCGGGGGGAAAAAAAAAGAAGAACCCCAGGTGATTGTGGGCAGGTTAAAGTTCGCAAAGTGCTGCTCTAAGGCTTGGTTTGCTCATCTGTAAGATGAGTGGTTGTGAGGAATCTAAGAGATAATTTCTATAAGGCACTTCGCATCAGAAGAGTCTTGGTCAGCACTCAAGAAAAGGAGCAAGATAGCACAGAGAGATCAGCTCAGTGCTTTGTGACCACCTACAGGGGTGGGATAGGGAGGGTGGGAGGGAGACACAAGAGGGAGGAGATACGGGGATATATGTATATGTACAGCTGATTCACTTTGTTATAAAGCAGAAACTAACACACCATTGTAAAGCAATTATACTGTAATAAAGCTGTTAAAAAAAAAAGAAAAGAAAAGGAGCAAGGAGCCCTTGTTAATACGATAAAGAAAGAAAGAAGCGGTGGTCGGGTTGCTGAGTTGGGTGGGATCCGGGAGGGGAGAGTGGTATCTGATGCTGCACAATGACTTGAAACACTGGGCGGCTCTGGAAACGAGCCACTAAATATAATCTCTGCTTGTTAAGGTCTGGCTTCAAAGGGGGACTTGGCAGGAGATAGGACATCATTTGTTCTGTGTGATCAGCCAAGACCAGCCTTAGGCTAGGAAGGAAGTCGGCCCCCGGTGCCTTGGCCAGCGGAGCTTAGGGCTCACACGTGCTGGCCTCTGCAAGGGCCTTCCACAGTGACCCCCCCCCAAACCCAGGAGCCCGGTGGCACTGCTCCCAACTTCCTGGAGCAACTTACCTAAGAGGAATTCTGGAGGCGCAAACTGGAGGCATCGGATGCCAGTTACCAGCATTGGGGACTTGTTCATGGGCCGGAGCACGCCGCTCACGGCCATCTCATAGGCCTCCTGGGTCTGTAGGTCAACGTTGGAGTACCTGGGGATCAGGAGGCACCAGAGTGGGCAGCTGACTGCCTACCCCTGGCCCTGCCCTATTCATCCCTTTCCTGAAGCTCTTCATTCGCTTTCCACCTTCCCTGCCCCTCTAGCCACCTTTGCAGCAGCCTTGTTCTGTCCCCTCCAATCCCTAACTGCAGGCTCTGACCCCCTCTCACACTCTCCTTGGCTTCAACGGTCATACCTGTGTTGACCACTTCCACCCCCTGGTTCTGTGCCGTGATGGCGCGGACCCCTAGCTCTCCTCTCCCTTAGCTCATATACTCCCTAGGAGGCCAGCTGGGATCTCTTGTTCCCCTTGGTCTCCCCAGGGGCTGGCCCAAGACCCAGCACAAAGAAACACTTCTGCAGGCTGTGAAAGGAATGGGTGCTTGTGTCTGGTTTTGGAATTTGCCCCAGAGTAGGCGGAGCCTACAGGGAGCCTTGTGGGCAACTTCTTGCCCTCCCAGCACTTCCTTGAGGGTCCCCTTTCAGAGAGGTGTGGGTCGGGCCTCACTTACATCACCAGAGCCTTCTGATGGGAACCTTGGATCAGGGACAGGATTCGCTCCAGCTTCTCTCTGGTCACGTGGTCTGGAAAAGCCAGGGGATGGTCAGCACACAGGTGCCCACTGAGGAGGCAAAACTGGCAATTTCCCTTCCCACAAACCAGCCCTGTCCTTGGAACCTAGATGGGGTCCCAGAGCATCCTCTGGTCCCAGGGTTCCCATTTAGGGGGTTGAGAGTCCTTTGAGAATCTTATGAAGGCTGTGGACCCGCTTCTCAGAAAGATACACATGAACTCAACATTTTGAGGACATTTTCAAGGGGCTCACACACCCCAAGTTAAGAACACTTCCTTCTGGAAATGAGGCTCCAAAGATGAAATGTGATTTGCCCCATATTCTTTTTTTTTTAATAAATTTATTTTATTTCTTTTTGGCTGTGTTGGGTCTTCGTTGCTGCACGCAGGCTTTAGTTGCGGTGAGTGGGGGCTACTCTTTGTTGCAGTGTGCAGGCTTCTCATTGCGGTGGCTTCTCTTGCTGCAGAGCACAGGCTCTAGGCGTGCAGGCTTCAGTAGTTGTGGCTCACGGGCTCTAGAGCACAGGCTCAGTAGTTGTGGCTCACGGGCTCTAGAGCACAGGCTCAGCAGTTGTGGCGCACAGGCTTAGTTGCTCTGCGGCATGTGGGATCTTCCTGGACCAAGGATCAAACCTGTATCCCCTGCACTGGCAGGAGGATTCTCAACCACTGCACCACCAGGGAAGCCCCTTGCCCCATACTGTAAGCCCGGTCCCCTGAGCCCCAGTCTGGGGTTTTTCAGGCCAGGGACACCAGGAGGGAGGGTGCCATCTGTCCAAATGCAGAAATGGGTGGCAAGAAGTGGGAGTGGCTCCTCTGCCTGCTGGTCTAACCAAGTGACTGTGGAGCAGGCAGCTGCAAAGCCTGGGGATGCCCACGGACTGTGGGGAGGCCGAGCCTGCAGGCCAGCTGGGGCAGGCCAGCTGGGGCAGCCACCAACTTCTGACTCCACAGGCCAGAGCTCTGGGAGCAGGTGTGGTGACTGACTAAGGCCTGGCCAGCTGGGAAGGACCTGGGCCTCTCATCCCTTCTGTCTGGTCTCATTCACGCTGTTGTCTTATCTGGAGGCGCCTGCTACAGCCTCCTCCCCACTCATTTACAGCCCAGCTCAATGCCGCCTGCTCCAGGAAGCCCCTCTTACAGCACGTGGCTTCTTCCTTCTGCACCTGGGTCTCTTTCCCAGCACTTAGTTTTCTTTAGTGTTTATGTCATTATTATTATTATTTTTTTTTTTTTTGGACCCAGGCCCCGCCAACCAGGGACTGAACCCAGGCCCCGTCAGTGAAAGCGCACAGTCCTAACCACTGGACCGCCAGGGAAGTCCCTATAGTATTTATTTATTTAAATTTATTTATTTTTGGCTGTGTTGGGTCTTTGTTGCTGTGCGCGGGCCTCCTCTAGGTGCGGCGAGCAGGGGCTACTCTTCGTTGTGGTGCGTGGGCTTCTCATTGCGGTGGCTTCTCTTTGTTGCACAGCACGGGCTCTAGGCGTGCGGGCTGCAGTAGTTGTGGCTCACGGGTTCTAGAGCGCAGGCTCAGTAGTTGTGGTGCATGGGCTTAGTTGCTCCATGGCATGTGGGATCTTCCTGGACCAGGGCTTGAACCCGTGTCCCCTGCGTTGGCAGGCGGATTCTTAACCACTGCACAACGAGGGAAGTCCTATTTTTAATTATATAATTGATACAAGAATCTTCTTCAAAAAATTTAGATCAACACCAACAAACATCTCCCTTCCTCCAAATTCTGGCTTCCTCCCTCTCAGAAGTGTCAACTTGGTAGTTGTCTTTAGACATTTTTTGGATGTTGACACACACATACAAGTACAAATATATAGACAGCACTGCTTCGCCACATGTTTTTAATCTTCTCCAGGAGACGCAGAGGTGTGTGTCTGCTCTCCCTGCTAGACTGTGAGGCCTAAGATTGGGGACCCCATCTGATTGATCACATGCCTCCGGCCCCCGCCCCCAGTGCCTGGCACGTGGTTGGTGCTCAAAAAACGTCAAATAAGCAAATGCAACAGATCATATAGGACGTCTAAGAACATGGGGAGAGTGAGAAATGAAGAATAAGCCATCCATCCACCCACCCATGCATCCACCCCTCTACCCATCCATCCATCCATCCATCCATCCCTCAATACAGCACCTCCCATGTCCCAGGCGCTGTGCTGTGTGTGACCACAGGAGTGGAACTACACAGTTCCTGCTCTCATGGTTGACATTCTGGTGGGGAGACAGATATTAAATAATCACTAACCATTAGTTGATTACTTTTCTGACAGTACACTGAAACCATTTAAGGAGGTAACATTTAAGCAGAGCACAGGGGAGCACAGGGCATTCCTGGAAGTCAGAATCACACGTCCGTGCCAACAGCCAGCCCCGGCTTGGTGTGTCTGAGAATAACTGAGCGGGGGCCCTCACGGCCCACGTCAGGGTGAGGAGCCAAAGGAAGCAAATGAAGAGGCAGCCGCGCCCGCCCCTCCCGCCCGCCCTGGACGCCCCTGGGCTCTCACCATACGTCGTCTTCTCCACCAGCCGCCCGTCCTCACAGAAGTCGTCTGTGGCTTTGCCCAGGAGGCCGTGTACTGTGTAATCCTGCGAGGACAGGGAGAGGGAGGTATGATCAGCCCCTCGGCTCTAAGCCGCCATGGCAAGGAGGGAGGTGTGGCCCAGCAGCTCAGGCCCCCGAGGTGCTAGACTGAGGCTGGGGGGCCCTCTGGTCTCCCCTCAGGGAGTTCAGGTGCTCAGCCCCTGCCCAGCTGCCCCTGGGGAAGGACACCCGACTTCCTGTCCTATGACAGCAAGCATCAGAAGCCTGCGAAGGGTGCCCCGAGCCACCCTGCAACAACCCCGGGCCTCCACGCCTCTCCACTTCTGCCCAACCTGACAACTCATAATGCCAGGCCCCTCCCAGGATGCTCTGTCAGCTTCTCTCCCCCCTCCAAATATGATCTGTGCAGCTACCTGCCTCTGCGTCCAATAACAGTAATGACGATAACAGAGAGGACGACAACAGTGACATCGATTGAGCATCCACCACGTGCCAGTGGCTGTGCTGAGCACATTACATATGGTCACTGATTAAATATTCAAAGCAACCGTACAGAAGAGGTACGACGATCACTCCCATTTCAAAGATGAGGAAACGGAGGCACAGAGATGTTAAGTAATTCACCCAAGGAGACAGAACCGGCAGAGTGGTACAATCTGAGTTTTGAAGCGAAAACTTGGCTGCAGAATCTGTGCTCTTAACCACTAAAAACACGGGCCTTCTAATGTGGCGTCTCTGCACTTGATCATGATGCCAGACCTCGCAGCCCAGCATGGATGCACGCTTCCTGACACCCAGACAATGTCAGACAGAACCAGGTTCAAATCCCAACTCTGCCCCTTAAAGGCTGTGTGACCCCGAGCAAGCGTCGTCTCCTGAGCCTCATTCTCTCATCTGTAAAATGGGTTAACAATAGATCCCATTTTACGGGGATGCTGTAAGGCATCCACAAGGGAGTCCGCGTACAGTGCTCAGCACAGAGTGGCCAGCATGCGATAATGCCAGCTGTCATTATGATATTACAGCCTCCCTTGGTACATGACCCGAAAACAAAATGCTTGCTGATGGCCTGGGTATTCTCCATGGAATCATCTCTGCTTCAGAATCGTACCAGTGACCCCCAGGGAAAGGGCTAAGGGATAAGCAGGCCGTCCCCAGCCCCCGTACCTTGGTGAGGTGAGCGTTGTACATGTCGGTGAGGAGCCTTCGTCCACGTCCCACGCCGAGCACTGAAAGGCACCCAGCCTGATCTCACACCTGGCTCCCCCTTCCTGTTCCCCTGGGTCCTCCAACCCTCACCCCCTCCAGCAGAATACTCCCACTTCCAAGGCTGTGGAAGCCAGCAAGGGGGCAAGAAGAGCTTCTTCTACAGGGAACAAGTGAGCTCCTCTGTGCATATATGAAAATGCAGACTTCCGGGACCCACCCATATATACTGACTCTGACTCGTGTTGGGGCGGGGGCCTAGGGATCCTTAGCAAGCTCCCTGGGGTCCTGACGCACTCAGAAGTAGGAGACCACTGGCCCAGTCACACAGACCTGCATTCACATCTGGGGTGGCTCTAAGCATGTCCTTTAACCTCCTTGGGTCTCAGGCTCCCCATCAGTAAAATGGGGATAAAAATACTGTCTGATCCCTGTGGGTGTTGTGATGATCGAGGCAATGCACACGAAGGAAGAAGCCGGCAAATAAATGGGGGCATTGTGGTCACTCCCTGCCTTTCCTCCGGTCTGTGTCTCCCTCTGGCTGAAGGAAAGAATGACCATCCATCACTCCTGGAGGGAGGGGGGCATGAGATCACGTCCGCCTGCCTGTGTCCCAGGAAGCAAGACAAGTTGCTGTGACTGTTGTATATGAAGGACGTGGCCGCCACCTGACCCTGGGGACACAGATGGCTCATGACTCAGGGCTTTGTGTGTCCAGCTCCAGCGACATCCAGCCAGTGGAGCCAGGGTCACACACTTGGCTACCCCATGCAAGCGATGACAGTTTTCCCTCTCTGGTCCAGGGACATTCACTAGCCACATGACCCAGGATGAGTTACCTATGCTCCTGGAGCCTTACTTTCTTCCTAAAATCATATGGTATCTACCAAATGAGGTTATTATGGTGAATGCATGTGCACAAAGAGTTTCAAACCACACGTCACAGGCAGGAATCACTTGATAAACGTGGGTGATCACGACTTCCCCCTTCCCACCAGTCACCTCTCCAGGGGATCAGACTTGGCAGGAATCAGGAGAGCAAGGCAGTAGCGGGAAATGGCTGTCAGGTTAGAAATGGGCTGCGCTCCTGGGAGCTCCCCGATCCTCTCCCAAGCCTCTATCATTGCACCCCAGGCTCACCACACCACCTACCAAGCACCCCAGACGCCTGGGCATCCAGTCGGTGCCCCATGCCAATCTTCAGGCTGGTGAATGCTGGTCCACGTACTGGAAAGAAACAAACGAGGTCCTTTTCCTCAAAGAATCCAGCCTCCAGGATGGCTCTGGGCTGCATGGTGACCTCATTCCTAGAATGAGGTCCAAAACCAGCATCAGGCTGGACTTTCAGGTTTCCTCACCATGGAATTTGGGGCCCAAAACCACTTCTTCAGTTTCTTGGGCCCAGAGAAAGGGCAACCCAGGGGGCCTGTTAAGTCCGTCCATCACCATTCCCCCCGTGAGACACTTTGAGTGGACTGGGCAGAACACTGGCATCAAGACTGGGGGCGTTCCCTATCCAGCTCCTGTAGAAGGAGAGTCCTGGCCACTCTCCCAGGGAGAAAATGGAGGCTGTGAGCTCCTTAAGGCAGGGGTCTGGGTCTGTGTGTTCACAGTTCTGCCCCCAGAGCCCAGAACTCACTGACTGCTCGGGAAATAACCCATTTCCCGAAAGAATGAATGACCCATCAAATAAATATACATTAAGTATGTATAGTTTTTTTGTATATCAGCTAAACCTCAAGAAAGCTGGAAAAAAAAAATGAATGAATGCAGGAATGAGCTAGATGCTTTTACACTTCTGTAGATCAAGAGGAACCTAGGAGACCAGCATGGGGCGGTTAAGAGCCTACTGAACCCAGGCTACATGACTTAACATTAGTCAGCACTGAGCATCAGTTTCCCCATTTGTGAAATGGGACTAGGACCCACCTCACAGGATTCAGTGCGGTAGTGTTTGGGAAAAGCCTAACACAGTACCCCGTACAGAGTAGGTCCTCAACACATCAGACTTGTTGTTGTTACACTGTAAACTCACTGATTACTTCTCTCCAAGGGGTTTTAGAGGTTCCTGGTCAAGCTCCTCAGCCCTCCTATAGAGCCTCCCCAACACATGCTTTAATCATGTCTAATGACAGGGGCTCATTGTCAGAACTAGTTTCACTGTTGGGCAGCTTTGTTGACTATAGTAAGTCACTGTTCACAGATATAGAGTACAGACTTGTGGTTGCCAAGGGGGAGGGGGAGTGGGGGAGGGATGGATTGGGAGTTTGGGATTAGCAGATGCAAGCTATTATATACAGAATGGGTAAACAACAAGGTTCTACTGTATAGCACAGGGAACTATATTCAATATCCTGTAATAAACCATAATGGAAAAGAATATGAAAAAGAATGTACACATATGTATAACTGAATCACTTTGCTGTACAGCAAAAATTAACACAACACTGTAAATCAGCTGTACTTCAATAAAATAAATTTTAAAAAAAATTTCACTCTTTCACAGGCGCCCAAAACTCCCTCCTTATGACTTCTACCTGAGGGTCTCAATTCCTACCTGGAGTCCCAGAATAATAGAGGTCAACAAACTATAGTCCACAAGTCAAATCCTCAAGCCTGTTTCTTTTTTATGGCCCACAAATTAAAATGGTTTTCACATTTTTCAATGGTTCAAAAAAATCAAGAGGATAATTTTCATGACACATAAAATTATATGAAATTCAAATATCAACATCTACCAGTAAAATTTTATTGGAACACAGCCAGGCTCATTGCTCTACATACTGTCTATAGCTGCTGCTTCCGCACTACGGCAGAGGTGAGCCTGCAAAGCCTAAAATATTGATTATCTGGCCCTTTCCAGGAAATTTTGCCAATCCCTGGTCAAATACTTCATCCCCACTGTGGCCCTACACTGGTTTGGGCCAGAAGGAGTCTGAGCTCTGGCTAGGACACTGACTCTGGGCAGGGATTTCCTGGGAAATGACATCCAGGCCCCTTCTTGAACGTGCTTTACCCAGCGGATGGTCGATGAGGGTGGGCACACTGGTGGCTGTGAGGGTCAGCTCCTTCTCTTCACTGCCTTCCACGGGGCCCAGTAGGAAGCGAACACGATGTTCAGAGGCAGGACGCTTCCCAGCATTGAGACCTGAGCACACACAAGTAAAGAACATCTTGTCGATTCTGTCTGAACACCGGGGGTGGGGGATAGAGGGACAGGTAAGTATGGAAATGTAGAAGACAGATGAAAGCCCACACAGCGCCTAGTACAGAGTAGGTCCTTAACACATTATACCTGTTATTGTTCTTATACTGTAAACTCACTGACTACTTCTGTCCAAGGGGTTTTAGAGATTTTAGAGTACTCTACTTCTGAAAGCAGAAGTTAAGAAACAGACTTGGGTTTAAATCCTGACTTTACTACTTATTAACTATTTATGACAACGGACAATACTGAGTCTGTTTACCCATATGAACACAGGAGAAGGCGAGGAGTGTATAGAACAGTCGATTAGGAAACCGCTCTGCCCAGACGACTAGGTCACATGACTTTATTTTGCAGCAAGGATCAGAAGCGTAGATGGCCTCCCGGGAAAATGGGAGCGGGATCGTGGGTCTCGCTAGAGGCACTCACCTTTCAAAAGCTGCAGCTCCACGGTATCGCGCAGATGCTTCCACTTTAGTCCCGGGGGCTTGTAGGCGGCGAAGAGCCCATGCAGCCGCGCCAGGCCGTCTAACCCCATGCCTGAAGCCAGTGTCCCGGGCTCGCGGAAGAGCTGAACCCGGACGGAAGTGCCTTATGGTCCCGCTCCCAAATGTGGTCCTTCCAATGGGCGCCGCCATGTTTCACAGCCGGAAGAGGTTCTTGTCTTATTGTCCTCGGTGAAAACGTACTTCCGAGAAGGGAGTAGGGTCCGGAGCTGAACCCCCAAAGCTAGCGGAGCTTACTTGGAGACACTTTTTGGGGTTAGGTGAAACGGGGAGAATTTTATATCTGTGGAAGTAGGTTGCCTGGGTTTCCTCATACTTAGAGACCTTCCCTGTCCGTGCTATCTTTCCCGCATAAAAGGCCCTACTCAGCGCGGTAGGGATCGAGTCCTTGTGACTTCTCCTGCGCATCGTCGCCAGAGAAGCTTGAGGAGTCGCCCTTGCCCCGCCCATCCTCCCTGGGAAGTCCTACAGTGCCCGCTGCCATGAGGACGCTGCTGCGCGGGGTCCTGCGCCCCCTCCGCGCGTTCCGAAGCCGTCCCTGGCCCGCTGCAGGCAAGTGGTGGGGCCGGGAAGGAGTGCTGGGGACCCGTCACGCCGCTGTCCCCCCCACCCACCCCCCCGCTCCTTTCACCGCGGCTGTTTTCTTTCCCCGCAGATGTGCCCCTTCGAGCCACGAGCCATGGCACCGGCCTGCTCTACCCCGAACACATCCCCACCACCCCGCTGCAGAAGGCGCTGCTGGCCGCGGGCTCTGCTGGAATGGCGCTCTATGACCCGTATCGCCACGGTAAGGCAGCCCACGCCGGCGCTTCCTTGGGGCGGCTTGGGGTCTGGGCGCGCCCTTGTCTTGCCTTGAAAGCCCGGGGAGGTCCTGGACACTGTCAAAGCCTCCGTTTGCTTTGGGTAACTGGAGACTAGACTAGGCCAGGGTACCCAACCCTGGCTGCACCTCATAATCACCCGTAACATTCATAAAAATGCAGATGCCTGGGTCCCACCCTAAACTTAATTCGAATCTGCCGGGAGTGGGAGAGGAGGGGAGGGGAGGGAGGAAGGGGCGTGGAATCTGAGCTTCTGCCTATTTAAACTTAAAAAGTTTAAACTTTTTTAACTTCCTGGGAGATTCTGTCATCCAGCCACACTGAGAACCTCTGGATTAGATGATTTATGAGGACCCATCAAATTATAACATCCCATTAGCATCTTAGATAGTGCATGGCACATAATAAATGCTCAATAAATGTTTGCTGGATGTTTTAATAGAACGTTCTGGGATCCTACAGTGTTTTTCTCATCTCCTCCAGGATTCTTAAGTCTGGAAAGTACTGTTACTCCTTCCAGTAAAAACGATAATGCTAACTGCTCACTGAGCCCTTGTGTTGCTTACTCAGTGTGCTGTTTTATATGAGTGTTGTTATTGATTTTTCGCATTAACCCTATATGAAAGGTATCACCTGCGCTTCACAAATTAGGACATTGAGGCTTGGAAATGTGAAGCAGTTTGCATACGGTCACCTAGATAGTGATCACACCAGCCCTCAAACCCAGCACTCTCTGATACCAAAGCCTATACCCATCCATGCAGACATGGTATTCTGTCGTGATGATGGATGTGGAAGTGATTTATGAACTCTTTAGAGCACTGTGCTAACCAGAGCCACCTCACCCCATTAAACTAACAACCATAGTAGTAACTATAGATATATTGAGCTTTTACTGTGTGCCAGGTGATTCACTAAGTGTTTAAGTTGAATCTTCATAACTAAGAGGTAGATATTCTGTTTTATCATGTAGGAAATTAAGGCTCAGATCAGGTCAGGTAACTTACCTAAGATCATATTCTCCATTTGTCCCCATTTCTTTCCTTTCAGACATGGTTGCAGTTCTGGGGGAGACCACAGGATGCCATACCCTGAAGGTCCTCAGGGACCAGATGAGGAGGGATCCAGAGGGTGCCCAGATCCTGCAGTAGGTCCCAGCTTTGCCTGGGGGATTGAGGGCATTCTTTGGGGATTCTGATCTCTCTGGAATCACGTTGTGTTCCTCTAGAGAGCTCTTCTTGATACCTTGGCCATGGATGATTGCACAGGCTGGGCACTGCCCAACTCCGTGGGTGCCATTCACATAGACACTGTGATGACCCCTGGGTAGCGCAATATGGTGGCCTCAGCCCAGTTCCAGCAACAGGGCTCTTGTGCCTTCACTAAGGTCCCATAACATATGCTGCCTATAACCCCCACCCCTCAGTGCCCTTTGTGAATACCCTGATCACATCTGAGGCCTGTTTACCTAAGGCAGGAACCATAGCCTTAGCTTGTGGTAGTCTTCTCAGTCCCTGCCACTGGCCTGGCCAGTAGTAAGTGCTCCATTAGGACTTGTGGCCCCATTGCTGCTCTTCCCCTTCACCTCTCACACCCTTGATCTAGTTGGACCTTTCACCTGCCTTTGCTGGTGCCCTCCCAATACCTGAGTCCTGCCTTCTGCCTCACAGGGAGCGTCCCCGGATCTCGCTGTCCACCCTTGACCTGGGCAAGCTCCGGAGTCTGCCTGAGGGCTCCCTTGGCCGCGAGTATCTCCGTTTCCTGGATGTGAATGTGAGTTTCCAGCTTCTGTGCATTTGGTAGTCACCAGGAAGGGGAGAGGAATGGTACAGGAGTAATGTCCTGAGGAAGGAGGAGCCTGAGCTGCCCGCATGGGCAGGAGTGCCTTGCAGTCTCTTGCGCCAAGGCTTTGTCATTCTCTATGGGACAGGCAAATGGGCCGGGAACATCGCTGCGAGCAATTACACTGGCCAGCACTTATTAACCTCTTACTGCGTGCCAGGTGCCAGGCTCATACATGATCTCACTGAATCCTCCCAACAACCCTGCCAAGTATGTTCTATTATTATCTCCTTTTATTTTTATTTTTTTATAAATTTACTAATTTATGTATATTTTTTGGCTGCATTGGGTCTTCGTTGCTGCACACAGGCTTTCTCTAGTTGCTGCGAGCAAGGGCTGCCGTCCATTGAGGTGCATGGGCTTCTCATTGCGGTGGCTTCTATTGTTGCAGAGCATGGGCTCCAGGCGCGTGAGCTTCAGTAGTTGTGGCGCGCGGGCTTCAGTAGTTGTGGTGCATGGGCTTAGTTGCTCTGCGGCATGTGGGATGTTCCCGGACCGGGGCTCGAACCCGTGTCCCCTGCATTGGCAGGCAGATTCTTAACCAGTGAGCCACCAGGGAAGTCCCCATCTCCTTTTCATAGATGAGGAAACTGAGGCCCAGAGCAGTTAAACAACTTACTGATTTCACAAGCCAGTATTAATGGAGGCAGTATTCAAACCCAGATTATGTTCTTAACTGTTGCATTGTGTCCCCCTGTTCTAGAGACAGTGTCTTCCCTGGGTTTGACAAGTGTGGCACTCTCCAACCCCAGGCAGAGAGGACAGGGACCGGGGGGCAGAGTCCCATCTATCAAGGAACTCATTCATTTGTTCAGAATCGGTCATGTGCCATCCATTGTTCCAAGTGCTGGGGATACAGTGGCAAACTAGACAGACAATGTCCTGCCCTCATGGAGCTAATATTCTAGTTGGGGAGGTAGACTATAAAGCAGTAAAAGAAGAAAATTTTCATATAAAAATTCAGGCAAAATATTTATTTAGTACTGTTCTAGCAGGTGGTGCTGTGAGGACAGCAGTCAACATTATAGAGGACGGGGCGGAGTGGGGGTGGCAGGTGGCCACTTCTAACAGGGTGGTCATGGGAGGCCCTGCTGGGGAGACTTGGAAGATGGGGAGGAGCCAGTTCTGAGGAGAGATGGGGAAGCGCATTCCGAGCAGAGGAACTGGCAAGTGCAAGGCTCTGTGTGGTTAGGAAAAGGAAAACTGTCCAATGTGGCCATATGACCTTAGAGGAGTGAGTTGGGGGGAAGCAGGCAATGGGCTGGGAGGTCAGCCTGGCCCAGCCAGACCCTGCCTGCCACGGGAAGTGTTACCCGAAAACTGCGTTTGCCTCTTGGTGGGTGCTGAGCCAAAAGAAACAATCAAGCCAAAGATGGGGAGAAGGAAGGATTTATTACTTGCAGCAAGTATGGCGAACGCTGGGGAGCTTTCCCAAAGCAGTGTCTGTTAACAGCAAAACTGGGGAAGTTTTAAGCTAAGGGTATATGCGTATTCATAAAGGGGCTTGAGCAGAGGAGAATTCAGCATAGAATTGGGGCAGAGGTCAACGGAGCCCAAGTCTTAGTTGATTGAAGTCAGGAGGGTCAGGAAAGGTCAACATCATCATTTCTTAGGTACTGACTAGTCCGGGACCTTAGCATGTAGTTACCATCCTCCACCTGGGTGTGGGCCTTAGTTCCTATAGAAAAGCTTAAAGATACACATCAGATTGTTATGTATATTCTTTGAGGAGGAACGAGGACACTGTTTTATTGCTGAACTATTGGGGTTTTTTTTTTCATTTTTATTTTTATTTTATTATTTATTTATTTATTTTTGGCTGCATTGGGTCTTCCTTGCTGCACACGGGCTTCCTCTAGTTGCAGCGGGCGAGCGAGGGCTACTCTTCCTTGCAGTGCACGGGCTTCTTTTCGCAGTGGCTTCTCTTGTTGTGGAGCACGGGCTCTAGGCACACAGGCTTCAGTAGTTGTGGCACACGGGCTCAGTAGTTGTGGCTCACGGGCTCTAGAGCACAGGCTCAGTAGTTGTGAAGCACAGGCTTAGTTGCACCACGGCATGTGGGGTCTTCCCAGACCAGGGCTCGAACCCGTGTCCCCTCCATTGGCAGGCAGATTCTTAACCACTGTACCACCAGGGAAGTCCCTGAGCTATTGTTTCTTGACTGCTTTTCTTCTGTTCCTGCATTCCTTTATTCCTTGAAGATCATTCATTACTGAGACCTGCTGAAGGGCAAGCATTATGTCTAGGCTTAGGTCACAAAATGGCTTAGGTCAAAATGGCTTCTCTAATGTCAAGAATGCCATGCCTCGTTCTTTTTCTCCAGGGATCCCCTACCCTATCTGTTTAGAGACAGAGTCTGTATTTTGTAATAGAAGCAATAGGAAGCCATCGAGGTTTCGAGCAGGGTAGTAACATGATCTGATCTATAGAAGGACCCAAGGATACAGCAGGGCACCTTCCCTGTCCCTTCCCCTCCCTGCCCCAACACAAATACTTCCCATCAAAGCGCCTCTGTCAAGTGGCTCTCCAGTCCAGCTGCAGGAGCCAGCCAGGCTGGAGGAGGTGAAGGAGTGAGCAAAGGTTGCTCTAGAACTGGGTTTCTCAGCCTTGGCACTGTTGACTTTGGGGGCTGGATAATTCTTTGTTGTAGGGCTGCCCTGTGCATTGTAGGATGTTTAGCAGCATCCCTGGCCTCTACACACTAGATGACGGTAGCATTCGCCCTCCCAAGTTGTGACAACCATAAATGTCTTCAGACATTGCAGATGTCCCGTGGTGGACAGTTGAGAACCCCTGCTTTAGGAGATTATTGTCCCTGAGAAAATAATCTGTTCCCCATACTCTCCTAACACTTGCCTCTGCCCCATTTTATACCATCACCCGGAGATTTCACCAAGATGCAAGTTTATTTCATCAGTGGGAAACCCACAAGGGTGACCTGCTTCAGGTGCCACCCAGGAATGGAGAATCTTCTGAAGTTCTCCTAGAGCCTTTTGTCCTATTGTGGTGGAGGGTATGGGACTGCCAAGGCCCCCCTGGGTTCGCCTTGTTCAGCCACAGCCTTAGTTGTGGTAACAGCCCTAGAGACTGTGACACTCCTGGAGCCTGGAAACCAGCAGCCCACACACCGTAAAAGAACACCTTTGTCCCAGCAGAGCTTTAGATCAAAGTTCAAGGTGAGGCCACCCTCCCTGAGGCTGACTCAGAGGGGTGGGTGGTTGTCCTTGTGGCATCAAGATTAGGGGCATGGGCTCTGGCGTAGCCTGAGTTAGAAGTCTGCCTTTCTTCCTAGCTTTAAGGCCCTGGGCAAATCATTTGACCTCTGAGCCTCAGACTCCTTATCTGAGGTGAGGAAACCTCATGTTTATCTTCCAAGGCACTTATATGACCGATTAATAATGGACGTTAAGGCGACTGGCTTTGGAATCCAGCAGGCTTTGTTTCCAATCCTGACTCAGCCACTTGATTAGTCAGCTGTGTGAACTTGGGCAAGCTACTTTATATCTCTGAGCCTCATTTTTCTTATCTGTATCTGAGGCTCATAACAGTATCTACGCCCAGGTGGTCTCAGGGATGCAGAATGACGATATGTGTAAAGGACTTCATACAGTGCCGGCACATAGTAGGTACTCAATAAATGTAGGCCGTCACTGACCACCTTCAGCTTCACACAGCAGTTAGAACTCTGTAGAAGAAATTAGGACCTGGGACCCAATGAAGTCACAGACACAGACCATGGCACAGGGCCAGCAGCCCCAAGCTGGCCTCTGGACAGCCTGAGGCCATGCTTTGGCACTAGGAAGACCAGGGTGTCCCTACTGTGCATGGGTGCTGCCAAGGACTCACAGAGGGTGGGTAAAGGAGGACAGTTGCCATCCCTACCTGAGGTCAGAAAAGTGCCTGGGGCTGGCCTTTTACTCCTGCATTTAAGGTATGTTTATTCATCCAGGCCCTGGAGATAGAACAGTGAGCCCCTGTCCTGTGCTGCTGACAGCCTGCTGCAACACCCTTCATAGCAATAGTGTGTAAGCCCCATAGGTAATCTGCTGCTAGCAGATAAATAAAAGCAAATAGAAACAGGTGGAATTAATTTCAATAAGGTATTTTGTTTAATCCAGCATACTAAAATGTCATTTCAACATGTAATCAATATTTTAAAATTATTGAGATTTCACATTATTCTCTTCATACCGTCCTCGAAATCCAGGGTGTGCTTTACATGTACAGCACATCTCAGTTGGAACTTGTCACGTTTCAAGGCTCAGTGGCTGCCTTGATTGGCTGCTGTACTGGACGGTGCAGGTCTAGACGAGAGACACTAACAATCGCACGCACTAAACGTCACGATACAGTCATGTCGAATGCCACAAAAAGGTTCGGGTTGCTACAAGAGACCATAAGATAGGAGGAATTGTCAAGGTGAAGGTGAGGGGGGAGGGAAAGAGCATCCTAGGCTGGGAGCAGCTCATCTGACGAATTCGGGACTTTGGGTGCTTCTTGTTTTTTTCGCCCCATTTTATTTCTAATTGTGGTTTTAAAAAATAATAATAACCTAAGATTTACTGTGTTAACCACCTCTAAATGGGCAGTTCAACAGTGTTAAGTATAGTCACATTGTTGAGAAACCAATCTCCAGAGCTTTTTCATCTTGTAAAACTGAAACTCTATATCATTAAACAAACAACTCCTGCTTCCCCCCACCCCACCCCCAGGGGTTTCTTTGCCATAGATTCCAACAGGGTGTGTACATTATGTGTGAGTTGGGGTAGGCAAAGGGGGCGCCAATCCACCATATTCCCTGCCTGAGGACTCCCCTGTCAGCAGCTATGCACAGAAACAAAGTCCCCAGAGATTTTTGGTGGGGTTTGAATTTGGTGGGCGTGGTTGAGAGTCAAGGAGAGGCTGGCAAATTGGACCCTGGAAGCCATCAGGAAGGGGTCTAGGGGAGGTTCATGGTTGTCAGAGGGTCTCCCCAGACACCAGAGCGCCCACCCGATTCGTGGACAGTGAGGAGCTGGCATACGTGATGCAGCGGTACCGGGAGGTGCACGACATGCTCCACACGCTTCTGGGGATGCCCACCAACATCCTGGGTGAGTGCCAGCCAGCCAGCTGCTGAGTGCATCCGGAGTGGGCGTGGGGCATGGGTGGGGCAGGGTGCTCCGGCCAGCGCATCTCCCAAGTCTGTCTTCAGGGCAAGGGCAGGGCACACCTGTCCAGCCACCCACCAGTCAGCTGGCCCAGTGCCTCATTGTTTGCTTTACCCGAACATCTTGGTGCACCTGTGCCGCGCATCCCCTATCCTCCATCCCCACTGCCTCTTACGGCTCCTACACTGATGTAGCAGCATCCAAACACCAGGACTCCCTGCCCTGTTCCGGTTGTTAGCTCCCTGCGCTCTGAAGCCCTCAGCAATTCCCTAAGGCTTGGAGTCCTCAGCCTGGCTTTCAGAGTCCTCTGCATTCTGACCCCAAGCTTCCTTTCCAGCCCTTATTTCCTTCTGCTCTTTCTTGCACCCTCTCCCCAACCCCAAGCCAAGTGCCCCAGGGCCCAGCACAGGCTGGGACTGGGCACTGCTGACCCCTAGTAGAGATTCGGAGCGGAGCAGACACCTCACTGTGTCCTGCCCTGAGCGGCAGCATCACTGGCCTCTCCTCCTGGCCCCTGCTCACCTCCCACCCCATTCCCCACCCTGCCTGCCAGGGGAGATCGTGGTGAAGTGGTTTGAGGCTGTCCAGACCGGCCTGCCCATGTGCATCCTGAGTGCACTCTTCGGACCGATCCAGCTCAGTGCCCGGTAAGTTCTCAAGTGGTGAGGGGTCAGGGGAAGGCTCAGGGCTCCAGGAAATAGAGAAGAGCCCACAGCCTTTCTGAGCAGCCCCAGTGGTTCTCAGGAATCCAGGATGGGAAGAATGGGGCAGAGAAGTGAAACTGGCCTGGCACAGGGGCTCCAGGACTATGAATGAAGCCTGGATGTTTCATAGGACTCTAGGGTCTTTTGGGCCAGGCCTCAGTATCGGGTGAGAACAGTAGAGTCAGGGAACTGAGGGGGCCAGGGGATGCAAGCTGGCATTCGTTTCTGGAGTGAGGTAGCCCTCGATTTAAAGCTGGGCTTCGGCATGTTCAAAATGTGTGGCTTTGGGCACAGGGCTTTACCTCACTGAGTTTCTGTTTCCTCATCGGAAAAGTGGGGATAGCAACTACCTCCTTCTTGGGTCTGTGTGAGGATTAACTGAGAAAATGCACATCCACTGCAGGGAACGTGGTGTGCCCAGCACTCAGGACCTTATGTCTTTTGTCTTCTTTTTCCTCTGCTGCCCTACAGAAACCTGCAAGTGCTGGTCTCGAAGCTGATCCCATGGGCAGTTCAGAATGCGCGCAGAGCCCCATGTGTCCTCAACCTGTACTACGAGCGGCGCTGGGAGCAGCCCCTGAAGGCTCTACGGCAGGAGCTGAGCATCACAGAGCCCCCCATGCACGTCCAGGGCCCAGCCTAGGTCCTGAGCCCCTGAGCCCCTGAGCCGGAGGGCCTGGCCTGGCTCCCAACCCCCCACCCCTGCTTCCCCTGGGGGTGGAGCGCTCCTTTGCCATCACCTTTGTTCCTTTTCTTTGAACACTGACCCTTGGACGCCACTAATCATAATTTATCATAACCACTGCTCAGTGGCTTTGAGGGCCAACTCGGGAGGGAGCAGGCCGTGGTGGAGCTCCTAGGGGAGCCAGGAGCTGCCCAAAGAGAACTGAAACAGGAGGGAAGGGGGCAGGGCACAACCTTTGAAAGAACAACAAAGCCTGAGGACATGACATAAACTGATTAAAACCAAATGGGTCCAAGATGGCGGACAAGTCAACTTCCACTAGTCCTTGAGCTTCAGTATATGCTCACTGCAGCACGTCATCAAGCTAAATGACACACCCCCAGGTGCCATGACAGTTCCAAGGATCCATAACGATCAAAAAGTGGGCTGTGGCCCAATTCCTGGAAATCCCTGCCCCTTTCCCCCCTAAAAAATAGCTGGAACACTCACTCATTAGCCTATGAAATTACCCACCCCTGTAAAAACTGACAACCCACATACCCTGGGGCCTTTCTCGCCTTCTGAGGTGACCCATGCTCTGTCTGTGGAGTATGTTTCTCTTTAACTAAATCCACCTCTTACCTATCACTTTGTCTCATTGAATACTTTCTGCAATCAAACATCAAGAACCTGAGCTTCATTAAGTCCTGAAACCAGGTGTGTGATCTCAGTTGGAAGACTGTGGGTTTTGGTCGGGTTCGAGTCCTGGCACGTGGGTTGAAGTTCCAATCTGAGGTGCATGGTTTCAGAACCACGTGTGCGTAGTAATCAGTTGTCTAGGCTCATCATGCCCGGATGGCTCAGGTCCACAACCCCTGTACCCAACCCCTCCCTGCCAGCCAGGGTTCTCTGGGTGCCAGGCTGGGGCTCTTCGCAGGAGGGAGGGCTGTACCCAACTCCGAAGGCCTGAGAAGAGGGAGGCAGGGGGAGAGGCGAGTCTCTGCTGTCTGAATAAAGGCTCCCATCAGGTCAAGAGTCTGCTTCTCCTGCCTTTGCCCTGTGCTGCCCATGACTCTGGCAGCCTTGGGCCTTCGAGCACTGAGGGCAGACGTTCCCTCCAGCCTGAGCTTCCGCTGCTTGTCCCTTGTCTGGTCTGAGGTCGGGCAGACTGGGATTCAAATTCCCCACTCCTCCTCCGCTTTCTAGTAGAGGGACTTAGGGCAAGTCCCTTCACCTCTCTAGACCTGTTTAATCATAAGTAAAAGGGGGATGAAACAGCACCCACCTCCTAGGGTTGCTGTGGGGGTGTGTGAGGTGATGCCCAAAGAAAGGGCCCAAGCAGGAGCTGTTTTATGGTGGGTTTTTTTGGCTGTGTTGGGTCTTCGTTGCTGCACGTGGGCTTTCTCTAGTTGCGGCGAGCGGGGGATACTCTTTGTTGCGGTACGCGGGCTTGTTACTGTCGTGGCTTTTCTTGTTGTGGAGCACGGGCTCTAGGTGCGCAGGCTTCAGTAGTTGTGGCACGTGGGCTCAGTAGTTGTGGCTCGCGGGCTCTAGAGCGCAGGCTCAGTAGTTGTGGTGCATGGGCTTAGTTGCTCCGCGGCATGTGGGATCTTCCCGAGCCAGAGCTTGAACCTGTGTCCCCTGTATTGGTAGGTGGATTCTTAACCACTGCGCCACCAGGGAAGCCCTCTTTTTTTTAAAAAAATAAATATATTTATTTTATTTATTGTTGGCTGCGTTGGGTCTTTGTTGCTGCACGCGGGCTTTCTCTAGTTGTGGCGAGCAGGGGCTACTCTTCGTTGTGGTGCGCGGGCTTCTCACTGCAGTGACTTCTCTTGTTGCACAGCATGGACTCTAGGTGCGCGGGCTTCAGTAGTTGCAGCATGAGGGCTCAGTAGTTGTGGCTTGTGGGCTCTAGAGCGCAGGCTCAGCAGTTGTGGTGCACTGGCTTAGTTGCTCCGCGGCATGTGGGATCTTCCCGGACCAGGGCTCGAACCCATGTCCCCTGAACTGGCAGGCGGATTCTTAACCACTGCGCCACCAGGGAAGCCCCAAAATTTCATTTTTAATTCCTATAAACATACCCTGAAAACTGTCCTTCCTCACTTTTAAGGACTTTGACTGGACTAAGGGATTAAGGAATCTATTTAAGGACAAGTGGCAACTGTGGATGCCCAACATGTTTGATTATCAAGGAACCCAGTTTTCAGAGGTCCAGAGTGACACAGTGGGTGGGAAGTTGGCAGATGGCCCAGAACTGGGTGGCATGACAAACGTGGTCACAGCCCTCAGGGTCCAGACCATTCAGAGGCCAAAGATACGTACGGGTCTCCAGATCCGTGCCCTTTGTACCACCAAGTGTGCCAGGTTGCTTTCAAGATACCACGGATGGGAAAGGGTTCCTACGCAGCAATCCCTACACCAAGTTTATTGCTGTCCCAGAAGCACAGGTGCCCGTCTGAGGTCTGCAGGAGGCTTTGGGTCTTCTGAACCTTGTGGCCTTGGAGGCCGTAAAATTTCCGAATGGAAGTGAAGGAGGAGCTGTCAAAATTTGACTCTGATGGGACTCGAACCCACAACCTTTGAATAACCACACGAGGCCAGCTAGAAGTCCAATGCGCTATCCATTGCGCCACAGAGCCAGTTGTTAGATTCTTCCCACCCGACTCACCTCTGCCTGAAACAGCCTTTTTAGCGTTCTTCTAGGTGTGGCGCCGGGCCTTTGCTGAACTCTGCTCGGGTCCGGGCGCGGACTCCAGATTCTCCGCCAACGGTGCGGTGGGGGTGCTCTCCCCCACGTCCGGACGCCCAGGGATTGGGGGTCGGGGTCCAGGCAGAGCCCGCCTGCCTCCTCAACTGCCCCGGGGGCCTCTGCTGCCCGGCGGGGCTGCGCGGCGCGGACTACAACTCCCAGCGTGCCGCGCGGGGGCGCCGCCAGGAGCCGTCGCGCGCGTAGGACGGGCTGGGTCGGCCGGCGTGGGGCTCGCGGAGGCTGCGCGGCGTTGCCATCTCTGCGGCGTGCTCACCCTGGGCAAGGCGCGGCCGGCGGCGGTGCCGGCCGGCGCAGCCGGTTTGGATTGCGGGAGGCGGGCGGGAGGCGGGCGGGAGACGGGCAGGGGAGGAGCGCCGCGGGCGGGGGGGGGCCGGCCGAGCTGCTGGGCCGTGCAGGGCGCAGAGCCGTGGAAACGCTGCTGAGACTCGGCTCTGTGCGCCCAGGAGCGGCTGATGCTCCTCCGCGCTCCCCACTCTGCTACAGCAGCCGGGCCGCATCTGGACTGCGTGCTCCGCGGCGGGGCCGACACCAGGTGAGCACAGGCTAGGACAACGGGTCCCCGGGCGGGAGAATGTGCCCGGCCGAGTCCGGGGAAGGTGGCGGTACCGGTCTGGGGTGGGGGGCGCGCCCTGCTGCTCTGTCTCCTTGCCGGGCGCTCTGCTACCCTGGCTTTTCTGGGGGTCAAGGCGGTCCGCAGTGACCCGGGCTCGCGGCCCGGGAGATCTGGGCATCCCGTTCCCTCCTCGTCCCATCCCCCAGCCTTCCGGGACGGGTCCTTGTCTTTTGCCCTGGCGGGCTCTGTTAGTCCAGAGGTCTGAGGACCTTGGAGACCCTTGGCATTGGAGTTGGAGGCGCTGGTTCGGTCCCCCTCCCGGCTTTTGCTTTTCGTGTGGAGGAGGGAGAGATGGTGTAAGGGTTCCCTGTGGTCCAGACCATGTCTTCGTCCTGGCTTGGAGAATCTCAGGCTACCTCATAGACGTGACCTTCAGCCCCTCCCCAGGAACAGGAGAACCTGAAGGAAAACAGTCCCATCTGCTGCCCCTTGAGCAAGTCTGTAAAGCACCAGGAATAGAATCCAAGAGTCCTAATCTCAGCCCTGCCAGCCGTTCCTCTCCCCTTAAGCCCCAATCCCCTAAGATTCATCTGAGTGGCTTGCTGAGTGTGTTTGTGGGGGTGACTTCAAGCCCCTCTTCCTCTCCCTCAATCACCTTTCCCCTCTGTGCGGTCACCTCTCAGGCACCTCCAGGCTCTCACCTGTTTTCTCCATCGCCCTCTGTGGGCCAACAGAGGCATGGCACTGCCTGGACCTATGGGCAGGGACTGAGCAGGACCCCTTCTCAAGAAGTTGCCCCTTTGGGTGTTGTGGCTTGGCCTGATCATCCACAGAAACTCCGTAGGTCTCTGGGTGGGGAGTCGAGCCCGAGGCACTCAAGTCAATACCCGCTTCAAGGCATTTTGGTTGGGATCCTGGATGTCAGGAGAGTGGACTGTCTTCTTTTGGTTGGAAGGGCCTCTAAGAGCAATTCTCATTACACCCATTGCACAGAGGGGAAGACTAAGGACTGAAGTGGGAAAGGGACTTGCCCAAGGTCATTCAGAGAGTCATAGGCAGAGATGGGACTTAGGGGCTAGAACCCAGCCTCTGACTCTCAGCCCTGGAACTCCTCACCTCAAGTCCCATGCCTCTAGCCTGACCCTTCCCGACAGCCCCAGAAAGGGACCCAGTCCTCGGCTACCCTACTCAATATGGCCTCACTACAGGTTAACCCTTTGAGATGATAGTGGCCTGGTTGCCCGAGCCAGGAGGTAGGGGATCCAGGCATTTGGGTCCACTGACTGCCCTGTGCCCACAGGCCACAATGCTGCTTGGGGCATCTCTGGTGGGGCTGCTGCTGTTCTCCAAGCTGGTGCTGAAACTGCCCTGGACCCAAGTAGGGTTCTCCCTGCTGTTCCTCTACCTGGGGTCTGGCGGCTGGCGCTTCGTCCGAGTCTTCGTCAAGACCATCAGGCGTGATGTCTTGTGAGTACCTGGTACAACCCTTCCTGGGTTTCCTACACTATGCTGGGCTCCTAATCCCCCAAATCTCCCCAGGCCAGACCCTATGGTCTCTACCAGCACAGGGCACCCAGGCCCCAAAGGAGCAGTCTGTGTTCCACACCCTTCCCCTTGCAATAGTATGTGGTACCTCCATTGCCAAGGTCAAAGTCTCCTCCCAGGGAATCTACTTAACTTGGTGCTCTTTAGCCTGGAGCAGACTTGGGGTCCTGGGACATACATCAAACACCGGGCGTGTTGAGGAGACATCTGTAAGGAGTCCTAAGAACATGCTATAACTTGTGAGAGGGTGAAGAAGAACCCTGTGGAGGAGGCCCTGTCCTCCAGCTGGCATGAGTCTGAGAGGGCACTGAATTCTAGAGCAGGCCCTGAATCATGTCAGGGAGAACCTGCTTCCCAGAGAAAGTCAGAGATGGTCCATGGGGATATCCTGTACCAGAAACACCTGCTGCTACCTCCTCTGTGAAAAGCGCTGAGCTGACTCTGGGGCCTGGGGTGGGGAGGGGAATGAGGCAGCCCCAGACCTGGGCCAAGCTTAGACTGGTCAGGGAGACCGGAAGGGGACACAGTCAATCCCTAAACTGGCAGTGCCATGTGGGCAGAGACCCTGGCAGTCTTAATCACGGTAGTATCCCAGTGCCCAGCACCCCGACCCACACCCAGAACAGGTGGCTCGGCATTTGCCAGTCTGAGTTGATTGCAAAAGGAGGTTTCGAGTGGCCACTGCGGGAAGGGTGGTCACAGCAGAGAGCTGTGGGAGCGTGAACAAAGGGAGATGGCTTCAGGCCCGGGCCCTGGGGAATCAGAGGAGGCCTCCTGGAGGAAAAGCAGTTGTACTTGAGAGTCACCTCAAGGAAGTGGGAGCGGGGGATTCCAGCCAGAGGGCACGGCATCAGCAAAGGCACAGAGGCTGGGGGGCCAGGAGAGTTCAGGGGTCAGAGGTGGCACGGGTGGGGCAGGAAAGGAGGATGTTGCCAAGCGATTCCACAAACACTTATTGAACACCTACCCTGTGCCTGGCACTGAGCAGCGCCCGGGGGCAAGATGGTGAACAGGGCGGACCTTGCTGGGCTCACCGGGAGGGAGACGGGACAAATCGCAAACTCGTCATTTTTCTCTGCGGCAGTTACGGGGAGAGGGACAATACGGGGGTGTGGGAGGTCCAGGAGGAGGAGTTTGGACTTTGACTTGGGGCCCTGTAGTCGTGAAGTCCCCAACAGAGCAGCAGACTCAGAGCAGAGCTTAGAGTGTACTTGGAGTTGAACTCTGGAGCCGGACAGGACTGAGGTTCAAATGTCAGCGCTGCCACGTTCCACCCGTAAAGCCCAGGGCAAACCCTGGCACTGGTTTCCTCCTCTGTACCGGGGAGGGAGTAATCGCCCGGGTCCCTGATGTTATCATGCAGCATCAGTGAGCCACTGCATGTATCGCTGCCCCGCACACAGGTGCTGGGAAAGGGGTGTCACAAGTGATCAGACCAGGGCCTCCGGACCCCCACTCCCAAGCCCAGCAGTCACAGCTCCCTTGCTCATCCCTCTCCCGCCCCACACCCAGCGGCGGCATAGTGCTCCTGAAGGTGAAGGCCAAGGTCCGACGCTACCTGCGGGAGCGGCGCACGGTGCCCATCTTGTTCGCCTCCACGGTCCAGCGCCACCCGGACAAGACGGCCCTGATCTTCGAGGGCACGGACACCCACTGGACCTTCTGCCAGCTGGATGACTACTCAAGCGGCGTGGCCAACTTCCTGCAGGCTCGGGGCCTGGCCTCGGGCGACGTGGTCGCCCTCTTCATGGAGAACTGCAATGAGTTTGTGGGCCTGTGGCTGGGCATGGCCAAGCTGGGCGTGGAGGCGGCGCTCATCAACACCAACCTCCGGCGGGACGCGCTGCGCCACTGCCTGACCTCCTCCCAGGCCCGGGCCCTCATCTTTGGCAGCGAGATGGCCCCAGGTGAGCCCCGAAGGGGCAGGGGATAGGCAGGGAGTCCCACGGGACCGCCACAACCCCCCTCCAGCCCTGGGAGAGTCTGTGTGGCTCACCGGTTAGGGGCACGAGCCCTGGAGTCAGATGGCCTGGGCTGTGCCCCTGGTAGGCTGGAGACCCGAGTGAGACCCTGTGCTTCAGTCTCCTCACCATAGCACCTGCCTCCTGCTGTTTTCAGGGAGACACTTCACCTGAAGTATTAACACAGTGGCCGATGCTAGGTGACCCCTCAGACATAATGGTAACTGTTCTTGTGACTAATTAGGCCTCATCTATAAAATGGGAACAAGAATCTGTTCCCCGCTCTCCTGCAGAGCTTATGTTTATTGGCCGCCGCGTTGGGCACTGACCACATGCTGAGTTTGGGGCTTTACAAAAGCAGCTCTAATCTCCACTAAGCCTGGTGAGGTAGAGATTGTCATCTTGGCTTCACAGATGAGGAGACTGAGGTTCAGAGTGGCATGAGGCACTCACCCAGAGCCACACAGCTGTTAAGTGACAGAACCGGGGTTTGATCTCGGGCTTTGACCACAGTGTCCCTGTTCTCTCTCCCCGTGCTGCTGTGACTGTGGAATAATGGGCAGGAGAGGTTCTTAAGATGCTGAAAGGGGAGGAGGAAAGATGCAGCAGGGAGAGGGGAGAGGGTTGGACAAGTCAAGAGGAAGCCAGAGGAGTTGTGGCCGTGTGGGCCAGACTGGCCTACGCTCAGGGCGGGTGAGTATCTGGACATGTGTAGTGCACAGGAGAGCCTGAGAGAAGGTTCCCACCCTCTGAAGAGGCTGGAGGGCTGCCGGCCTCTGAACCCCCACTCCTCCCTCCTAACCAATCCCCCATAGACTAGCATGGTACAGTGGGTAGGGCCATAGTAAGCCTTGGTGTGAGATAGAGCTGGCTTTGAGTCCCAGCTCCAGCACATTCTAGCTGTGAGTGAATCCCTCCCATTCTCAGCCTCAATTTTCTCATCTGTAAAATGGGCTGTTATTGGTACCTGTTTCCTGGGGTGTGTGCGCAGGAGCATGCATGTAAAGAGCCCATGGCGTAGTTAGCCAGCAGGTAATGGGAGCCGTTGCTCCTCTCAGCATCTTCCTTATGACGAGGTCCCAGGTGCTTCACCCATCTCTCTGCCCCACCCAGCCAGCCTCCCCTGACACAGCCCCGGCACAAGCAGAGGTCCTGGGAACACGGGGTGTCCTGGCCTGCCTGCTGATCTGCCTTGTTTCCCCCACAGCTGTCCTTGAGATCTGTGCCAGCCTGGACCCCTCCATCAGCCTCTTCTGCACCGGTCCCTGGGAGGCCAGCGCAGTGCCTGCCGGCACGGAGCACCTGGACCCCCTGCTAGAAGATGCCCCTAAGCACCTGCCCAGCCGCCCCAACAAGGGCTTCGTAGGTGGGCCCCTCACCCCCACAGGGGCGTTCTAAGATGGCCAGGGACAGAGCAGTGGCCTCAAGGCCTGGGTTCTTCTGTAAACTTGCTGCGTGACCTGGAGTGAGTCATGTCACCTCCCTTTTCCATCCGGGAAAATGAGGACAGTAATCCTGGGCTTGCTACGAAGGCTGCATGAGCTGATGTGTGTGAAAGCACCAGGCACACAGAACGCAGTTCTTGAACAGCCTTCGTTGACGCCTGACATGCGCAGGATCACGTGGAACCCAGGAGCCTGCCTCGCCTGAGTTTGGGCTGCGCTTGGACCAGGGGCGAGACCCTTTGCATGGTCACCCACCACCTGTTCAGTGCAGGCCCCTGTTGGTCTGTGATCCCCTCCCTGCTCTGGGCTGCCTCCCCCCGACTTCTAGGCAGCCTTCCAGACCCTCTCACCTCTCTTCCTGCCCACTCCAGCCTGCCTTCTAGAGCCCACAGCTTGCTGCATCGCCTGGGGGTTCAGAGCCTGGGCCAAGTTCGTATCCCAGCTCTACTGCTTCCCTTGTATGACCCTGAACACCTGAGCTGCCCTTTGAGCCTCGGTTCCCAGAGCCATAAAATTGGGGATGGCAACAGAACCTGTGTTTGGGGGTTGGAAAAGGTCCAGTGGAAAGCTAGGGTATGACCGGAAGTGCTCAGTAACTGGCCGTCATCGTCATTACGGTTTAACCTCTGCCATGTGTGGATATGGTCCGCTGGGTACTTTTGTAAGCTCCTTGAGGGCGGGACTCTGGCTGGTTGAACCTGGCGCCAAGCCTAGGGCTGACATACTGCACGCGCCCTGAGAACGTGAGATAGTTACTATATAACATGCAGAGGCATTCCTGACCTCCTGGAACCTCCAGCCTGGTGGAGCTGACCTCACACAGAAACCATAACATGACAATCCCTGGTCCTGGCAGTGGGGGAATACAGAAATGGTCAGTGGTGCAAAAGCTACCTCTGCACCCGGCTTCCTGCAGCTAACCCTCCCCACGCAGTAGGCATCACCTCCTTCGAGAAGCCCTCCCTGGTGCCACCTCCCCTCCCTGGAGCCTGGGTCAAGCGCTGCAGCTGGGCTTTGGCAGGCCCTGTGCTTCCCAGCACTTTGCGCTCAGTATTGGAAATACCCGTGTCCTCATCTTCCTGTCCCACCTGGCTCTCGCCTCCACGCAGGCAAGGCCTGTGCTCATCTTAGCCGCTGGTGTCTCCCCGGGCCTGGCACAGAGCGAGGGCTCGGGAAAAGCTCGTTGAAGGAAGCAGTGCGGGCGTTAGAGCAGAGGGTGGTGCCTGGGGCCATCAGTGTAGGCTTTCTGGAGGAGGTGTGGTGGGAGTGGGTGTTGAGTGACGTACACCTACAGATGTCTGCCTGCCTGACTCTGTGCCCAGCCCTGTGCTGCCCCCTCTCACAGCTATTCCTGTGTCTGTTTTCTTCAGATAAGCTCTTCTACATCTACACGTCAGGCACCACAGGGCTGCCCAAAGCTGCCATCGTGGTGCACAGCAGGTAAGGGGAAGGTGCCCTGGGGGGAGGCCTGGGGATGGTGGGGCCTCGGAGCCGCTCCTCCTGCCTTTCCAGCTGCCCACAGAGCCCTTGGCCCTCTGCCCTCCCAGGTATTACCGCATGGCTGCCCTGGTGTACTACGGCTTCCGCATGCGGCCCGACGACATCGTCTACGACTGTCTCCCCCTCTACCACTCTGCAGGTATTCCAGGCCTGTCCACTCAGCCTCCAGCACCCCCAGAGTCTTGGAAGCCCCACCCTTCTTGGCAGGCAGCATGTTGCAGTAGAAACATTTGAGCTTTGGAGTCAAATCTGGGTTCAAATACAGACATGGGCATTGATCTCTGAATGAAAGTGGCCACACCAGCAAAAGTGGTGTGTGTGGCTGTGTCCCGCAGGGCACCTGGGCTGGTCTGACCATTCAGGTCGCTTCCACAGGTATGCACAGTCTTAGGAGCTGCTTGGTCTTAGGAGCTTTTAGAAAGACAGAGATGGAATAAATGTAATTCCTGCCCTCAAGGTGCTTAGGGTTTGGCTGTGTGTGTTTGGGGCAGGATGAATGATGGGACCCTACCCTGACTCTTAATACAAGAAATGGCATTGAGTATGAGGAGAGGCAGGGAGCAGGAGCTCAGTTCAAGGGAAGAGCCCAGTGATGGCCTGGAAGGCTTCCTGGAGGAGGTGCACCCAAGGCAGGCAGATGTGAGGTGCAGAAGCTAGGTTGGCTAGCTCAGTGCCCCCTGGCTGAATGGTAGCGTTACGGGTATGGGAGCAGGAGCTTGGGGCCAGCTCCAGAGGCCTCAGAGGACAGTCTAAGGATTGCGTACTCAATCCTATAGGCACTGGGGAGCCATGGAAGGTGTCTGACTGGCGAGAGAGATATGACCAGTTAGTGTTGGAGGGACAGGACAGGAGAGAGAAAGGGAAAGAGCCTTTGAGGAGATTGGGCTGTACAAGAGGAGGCTCTGGAGGGAAGGGTCTCCTGTCTACCTGACCTCTGAGGCCCACCCCTCTGCCTTCAGGAAACATCGTGGGAATCGGGCAATGCCTGCTCCATGGCATGACGGTGGTGATCCGGAAGAAGTTCTCAGCTTCCCGCTTCTGGGACGATTGTATCAAATACAACTGCACAGTGAGTGAGAGGGGAAGGGGATGAGCATCCCCGTCCCCTCGGGACCCTCCCACCAGGTCTACCCAGGGACATCTGTCTTACAGCTGAGGGCAGCCAGCCATTTATTTGGGGCAACACTCCCATTGTTCAGATGGGGAGGCTGAGGCCCAGAGAGGGAAGGGATTGCACAGCCGGCCCCTGGGGTAGTAGGGGTAGGGGCTTGGGGGGTTGGGGGGCAGTGAAGTAAGAGTAGCCTCAGGGCCCCAGACTCACGCCAAGTCCATCCCCAGATCGTGCAGTACATCGGCGAACTCTGCCGCTACCTCCTGAACCAGCCACCCCGGGAGGCGGAAAACCGGCACCGGGTGCGCATGGCACTCGGCAACGGCCTCCGGCAGTCCATCTGGACCAACTTTTGTAGCCGCTTCCACATTTCCCAGGTGGCCGAGTTTTACGGGGCCACTGAGTGCAACTGCAGCCTGGGTAACTTCGACAGCCAGGTGCGGCCCAGGTTGGGGACGCGGATGGACCACGGAAGGCACGGGTGGCAGAGGGGAGAGCAGAGTTCCAGTGTGGGAGTGTGGGTGCTGGAGGCCCCCCGCAGCCCCCAGACTGTCCAGTTTCAGGCCCATGGTGGGAGCAGCTGGGCCCGAGTCTCGGCCTTTGCAGGTGGGGGCCTGTGGATTCAACAGCCGCATCCTGTCTTTCGTGTACCCCATCCGGCTGGTTCGTGTCAACGAGGACACCATGGAGCTGATCCGGGGGCCTGATGGCGTTTGCCTTCCATGCCAGCCAGGTCTACCCTAGGGTTGCAGTTGGGGGTGAGAGTGGGAGGGGCTGACTCAGGAGGGGGGTGGGGCCGGTGGGTGGGGAGCCCCATCCTGGTCAGCAGCCAGAAGTCATCTTCTCTGAGGGCTTCCAGGCATTTATTTCTTCATCCGTGCATCCATTCAGTCATACAGAACGTAAAGCTCTTTAAGCAGAGCCAGGGCCCTGGGAGTGCCGGCTCTGGTTAGGCCGTCCGTGTAGGGCTTGACCACCCTGTCATTTGTTTGTTCGACTTTCCATCCATCTGTTCAGTGACCAGACTTTACCGAGAAGCTCCCTGCCCTCGGGGCTCCCGGGGTGGGGCGGGGAGAAGTGGGCGTTTCTGTGGACAGCCGCAGGGTGCACTCAGTGTGAAAGAGACCCCAGGGCAGGTCTGACCCCGCCTCCCCTGCCCACAGGTGAGCCGGGCCAGCTGGTGGGCGCCATCGTCCAGCAGGACCCCCTGCGGCGCTTCGACGGCTACCTCAACCAGGGCGCCAACAACAAGAAGATCGCCAAGGATGTCTTCAAGAAGGGGGACCAGGCCTACCTCACCGGTGGGTGGGCACCTCTCCCTAGGCCTTTCCCGCCCCTCGGGTGGGGGGGGAGGAAGGGGCCTTTCGCCACCCTCTGAGAGCACCTCCCCGGGACCCAGCTCACCCAGCTCCCCTCTAGGCGACGTGCTGGTGATGGACGAGCTGGGCTACCTGTACTTTCGGGACCGCACAGGGGACACCTTCCGCTGGAAAGGCGAGAACGTGTCCACCACGGAGGTGGAGGGCACGCTCAGCCGCCTGCTGGCCATGGCCGACGTGGCCGTGTATGGCGTCGAGGTGCCAGGTACCCGGGGAGGCGGGAGGTGCCGGCGTGTGTGCGGAGGGGCCGCAGGGGCCATCGCCAGCCGCTCACTGCCCGCTCTGCCACCCCCAGGAACCGAGGGCCGGGCCGGCATGGCCGCTGTGGCCAACCCCTCCGGCAGCTGTGACCTGGAGCGCTTAGCCCAGCTCCTGGAGAAGGAGCTGCCCCTGTACGCCCGCCCCATCTTCCTGCGCTTCCTGCCTGAGCTGCACAAAACAGGTCTGTCCCCACCCCCGACCCCAGCTCCAACTCGCAGGTGCCAGGCCAAGGCCCCTTCCTGGGTCTTTCTGAGAGGCCGGGGTGCCTGTCATTTTCCCTTCACCCACAGCCTTGCCAAGTGGTTGGTAACCTGACCTACCTGTGAGCAGACCCAGGCTTCAGGGAGAGAGGGTGCATCCATTCTCAGTGGGACAACTGAGAACAAATAACGACTGAGTAGTCTGCTCCAGGCACTGTGCTAGGCCCTGGGGGTATAGGTGACAAATTCCGGCAGGACCTGTGCCTTCTGGGAGCTTCTAGAGCAGCAGGGGAGGCAGCCACAGGATAAGGAATTCCAAAGATAAAGAATGGAATGCAGATCAAACTAACAGGAAAGTGAATGAGGGGATTGTGGGTGACTGGGAGGCTCCCCTGAGGAGGTGCGGTTTCAGCGGAGACCCAAGAGTGAGAGGGAGGGAGGGAGGGAGGACTTCGTGGGGGTGGGAGGCCTTCCGGGCTCTGGGAACAGCCACTGCGGAGTCCCTGAGGCAGGGAGGCACTTGGCTGCTAGAGGAATGAAAGGACGCCCCTGAAGCTGGAGCAGTGAGGGGTGGGCAGCGGCGTGAGGTGGGATGGCAAGGGCAGCAGGGGCCTTGTGGGCCGGGGAGGGGGGCTTGGACTATACCGGGGGCAGTAGGGAGCCACAGAAGTGTTTGAGCAAGGTAGTGACCTGGTCAGATTCCTGTCCTGTGTGGAGGCTGGGGGAGGCTGCAGGTGACTCAGGAGGAGGGGCGAGTGGTGGGTCCACGGGCACACGGCGGGGTGGTGCCATCCTTCTGTCTGTCGGTCCTCTCAGGAGCTTCTCTGGGCAGGAAGCTCTGAGGCTCATGCCCCGACCTCCCCTCCACTCTCCTCAGTCCTGGCTGCCTCCAAACTTACTTAGGGCTCAGAACAGCCATTTTATTTGCTCACAATTTGTGGGTCAGCAGTTTGGGGTTAAGTCCAGCTGCGTGTTCTTCTGTTGGCCCCATCTAGGGTCAAATAGTGCCATCGGGTGTAAGAGGGCCACCCTCACGTGGGGCTTCCGTCTAGTTGGCTCTGCAGTGATGTCCACAGAACGGTGGTGATGGCAGTGTGCTCTGTCTGCGCTCTGCGCGCTCCACACGGCAGCTACCAGCCCCGAGCGCTTGAAGTGGGGCCAGTGTGACGCGGAAACTGAATTTTAAATTTCGTTTCATTTTAATTAAATTTGCATAGCCACATATGGCCAGTCTTAGCGCCCGTCTAAGCGGCCCTTCCTGGGGTGGTTCTGCTCTGTTCCATGTGGTTTCTCCCCCTTCAGAGGCTAGACTGGTCTCAGGGCACCCCGAGAGGGTGGGGATGGAAGCTGCAAGGCCCCTTGAGGCCTAGACCACCCGCAACATGGCCTCTTCCGCATTCTGTGAGTCAGAGCCAGTTGTAAGGCCAGTCTGGATTCAAGCAGCCGTTGAGAAAGACTCCATCTCTTGCTGGGAGAAGTGGCCAGTCCACGCGGCAGAGGGGTACCTGGGGAGAAGCTGTAGCCATTTCTGGCATCTCTATCACACCTGGGTTCAAACCCCAGCTCCACTGACTCCGAGCTGTGTGACGTTGGCTGAGATATGTGCCTCTGAGCATCAGTTTTCTCATCTATATAGAGGGGCTAAGACCGTTGATTGAAAGATGCATAATTTATATCACATACTATTAAGGGGAAGACACACGAACTGAGCTACTTCAGAGATGTTGAAATCTGAAATCTTGTGCGTCTTAGAATCCATAGAATATGGTTGTGCACCTGCCCCTGGGGTTGATGTGCAGATTGCATGAGATCACCTCTGTACCTGGGAGGTGCTCAGATGAAAGGGAGCCATCAGGGAAGACCTGCGGTCTGGTCCTCACTCTGCTGTCACTCAGCATGTGGCCCTGAAAGAATAGCTTCTCTTCTTCAGGTCTCCGTTTCCCTGTCTGCAGAAAGGCGTGGGTAACTCGGCCCCTTCCCCTTTGCCGGGGCTGCTCTGAGGAGTGATACGTAATGTAATGGATGGAGCCTTTGCAAACTGTAGAGGGCGGTGCCCCTCCTCCCATTCCTCCCCTTTCCGGTGTCCTCTGCCCTTCCTCAACCCTGGCGGGAGGGCGGGTTCCGAGAGCTCAGGCCCCTGCCCTGCACCCTTCTGACCCTTCTTCCCCCGTCTTCTCCCTCCCTCAGGGACCTTCAAGCTACAGAAGACAGACCTGCGGAAGGAGGGCTTTGACCCAACAGTTGTGAAAGACCCACTGTTCTACCTGGATGTCCGGAAGGGCCGCTATGTCCCTCTGGACCAAGAGGCCTACACTCGCATCCAGGCAGGCGAGGAGAAGCTGTGATTTGCCCCGAGTCCCTCTGAGGGCCACCGGATGCTGGACCCAGAGCACCAGCTCCCACCCCAGAGGGTTCCTGGGCAAAGCCAGACCAAAGCAAGAAGGGCCTGGCCTCACAACCCCGAGGTGCCGACCCCCACCCCTCAAAACTGCCAAGGGACTCACTGCTGCCTCCCCCTCCCCCCGAGGCTTTCTGTGAAAGCCTCATCTCCATGTTGTGTCTTCAGGGGGCCTCTGGGCCCCAGGCTGAGACTGAGACTGGGCCCCTCAGGGTGATGTCTTAGGGCAGGACAGGGGAGGTGGAGGGTCACCAAGCACTCTCCAGAGAACAGGCAGCTTGTAAACGGGACCAGGGCAGAAGCCCCCAGACCCAGGACGCCAGCAGAGTGGGCGGGGGCAGCAGTGGCCGTTGATCAGGTGTCCGAATAGGATCCAGGCCCTGGAGCCACTCAGGCGTCCTCAGCCCTGCCGGTGCCTCTAGGAGGGCAGGAGAGAGACTGACCTGTAGCAGGCAGCCTGGACCTGTAGCAGGCAGCCTGGAGGGGGCACCCGTCTCATCCCCCTCTCTCTGGGTGCCTGCCTGGCTGTCCCTCAGGCAGGGCCTCTCTGTCTTTGTGGGTCTGTCCTTGTCCCCTCCTCCGTCTCCGTCCTGGCCTGGCTATGAAGGGAGAAGGGGTGGGGGGGCGCTCAGGGGCCAATAAACTCTGCCTTCCTCCCCCTGCCCGTGTGATGCCACCTGAGCTCACCCCAGCCTGCTCAGGCCCCAGCTTCTGCCCCATTCACTCCTCCATTCATTCGTTCATTTGGACTGAGGGATATAGCAGGTTATCTTAGATGGGGGGCAGTTCCCACCTGAGCCTGGCAGGGTGTTTTAACAGCATGATCTTGAGAGTCTAAACCAGCTGTGTCACGAGCTTGCGCGTTGGGCAAGTGACTTTGTCGTCTCTGTGACAAGGGAATGATCAGTTAAGATTCAGAGAGCTAAAGGGAGCCAGTATGAGGAAAGGGCTGTTCAGAGCCGTTGAGGGAGGAAACCCTAACCCAGCACAGGGTCCCATCTCCAGACCCTTGCCCATGCTGTTCCTTCTGCCAGGGGTGCATTTTCCCAGGGGGTTTGGCAGGGGTGCTGTGCAAGGCAGAGCAGGGCTGCCTAACCAGCTGGGTAGAGTCTAGGAAAGCTTCCTGGAACAGTGTTTGCAGAGCTGTCAGCAGTGCCAGCGGAGGGCCAGCTGTCCCCTAGGGCCCAACCCTGGAGTCGCACGCAGGCTGGAAATGTGCGTAGCCCAATGGAAAGGGGGTCCACCCCAAGCCAGGGCAGCAGGCAGCGTGTGTGCCCCAGGGCGTCATCTTCACTATTTAACCCTCAGCACCGTCTGTCACTTGACTGAGGTCACACAGCAAGTAGTGGGGACTGGAATGCCAGCCCCAGCCCCTTGCCCTTCCCGCTGCTCCTTGGTGCAGAAGGCAACAGGAAAGCCAGATGAGCTTCCATTCCACGCATGCTTGTGGAGCCAACTGTGAGCCACACCCCAGGCCAGCAGCTGACTGGGTGGTGGGTGACCAGGTTGAGAAATCTGGGGTGCCTCCTGGGGGAGTGACCTTTGAAAGATAGTGGAGTCTGGTGCCACTCTTGGGAGAAGAGGGAGGCAGCGCTGGAGTTGGCCCCTGGAGAGCGAGGCTGATGCGGGTGGGGTTTGGGAGTGGCAGGCATGGATGCAGTGCCCTAGTGTGACCAGCAGAGGGCGCACAGGTCCTGCAGAATCCAGTCCAGCCTTTGGCGCTCAGCCAAGGGAAGCTGGAAGGAGGGAGTGCAAGTCCCCACTTCACCCCCAGCGGTACTCATCCCAGAGGACTCTGTGGTGGGCCTTTGATCAGGCTCCCAAGGGGCTGGACTTGGTTGACAGTGAAGATTTGTGTCTTTAACCCGCAGCAATGACTGCTTTCCGACGGGAAGGAGCCCCCCAGTGGTCCCTGTTCCTTTCCCCTGGTTGAACACAGTCACCCAGAGGCAGTAAGGAGTGGTGGTTAAAAGCTCCTGCTGAGGAGCCGGTCAGGCCTGAGTTCAAGTCCATTTGCCAGGCTAGGCCTCAGTTTCCTCTCCCATAAATGGTGGTTTAGGAATCCCTACCTCGGGACAATTGTGAACGTGTAATGAGGTCGTGCTTGGAAATCTCTCAGCTCGGGGTCTGATGCTGATAGCTGAGCAGCACGTGGTTGTTGAAAGAAAAAAGGAGCAGTGTTGAGGTGTTAAGACCGCAGACTAGGCCCGTTTCCCACTTCTGCACCAGCACCCGCCCCCAGCCCCTCCATGAAGGGACGGGGCTGGTGGGCCCCTGGGCCTTGCAGCTCTCCTGTCTGCCTTTGGTCATCCCAAACCAGGGCTGTGTGAGTCATCCCCGCCCCCCCCCCCCCCCCCCCCGCCCCGGGGCCTGCAGTCGGTGCTCAATACCTGCTTGTGAAGTTAAGGATAGCTACTGTTTACTGGGCATTTCCTGACATTTACATAGCACTTCACAGTTTACAAAGCACTGTGTAAGTACATCAATGGAGCAGATGCTAAAGCCCTACTCTGTGCAGGGGGGCGGGGCATGGTCAGATCTGCCCTCAGGGAGCCCACTATCTGGGGGCAGAGGAGAGGGTCCTAGCCAGTCAAGAAGCAAAGGGTGTGTGCTTAGCTGCACCCTAACCCAGAGCCCTGGTCAGCATGTGGGGGAGGTGAGGAAGTCGCGTTTCATGGTCACAGAGGCTTTTCACGGAAGAGTCATCCAAGAATAGGAGAGGGAAGAATGGCCCAGACAGAAGGAGCCACAAAACATAAAGGCCTGGAGGTGAAGGGCAGGGAAGGGCGAGCAGGGCAGATGAAAGAAGGGCAGTGAGGCTGCAGCGGTGGGACTGGGGGGAGAGTTGAGGCAAGGTATGCAGAGTGAATCCTTTGTGGGCGTTTCTTGCACACTTGAGGACTGGGGGCTCAGCTAGGAAATCCTTGTATGAGGCCAAACCCATTGCCTTCGACTTGCTGACAGCCACCACGTGTGGAGCACTTCCTATGTGCAGGACGTGAGGCCAAGCACTTGACGTGCGTTATTTCATTAAATCCGTCACACAGAGCAGCTACAATTTTTACCCGCACTCCACAGATGAGGACTCTGAGGCTCAGAGAAGCTAAGTCTCTCCACAGACCACAGGGCCTGTGAATAGCAGTCCTGGGACGCAAGCCCCCTTCCCAGAGCCTCGGTGTTCCCATCTGCAGGCTGGGCCGGGGAGGCTGGAAGGGGCCTGCCTCGAGCATCCCAGAGGTCCTACCACCCTTAGACAGGCGAGTGGCTGCCCAGGCCAGTGCTTGGTGTATCACTTTCAATCCCTGGGAAGAAGGTTAAATACCTCTGAGGGGCCTATTGAGGCGCTGGCGGCAAGGGAAGGGGCGACCGAGTGACTTTCAAAGGGGCCTGAATGCGTGGCCAGCCCCTCCCCTGGAGGAGGGGGCCCTGCTTCCTCACGGCCTAATGATATTCTGGGCTCAGCCCTCATCTTTGGCGGCAGTTTAACCCGAGCCGGGGAGGATTTCTTTCTCACTGATCTCAGCTTGACACCCAATTAGCACAAGAATGGGAGGTGGAAGCCTGCAAGAGGCGCCTCCCAGCCTCCCGGGGCGCACGAGGGGAGCAGGCGGGGAGACAAAGGGCAGCGGGCAGGGGGGCCCCCGCGCCCTCGTCTCCCCTGCAGACCCCGCCATTGTCTCCCTAGGAGCTTCAGAGGGGATGGAGGCCAACACCCGGCTAGCCGGCCTGCTGGAGGGACAGGGTTGGGGCCCAAGCCCCTCTTCTGCGTGGATCCCAGTGGAAGGCATTTGGGTGAGCCAAGCCCAACAGGACGCAGCGAGGGTCAGGGATCCTGAAGGCGCAACAACCTGGGGTCGAGGCCTGACACGTAGGGGTCCGTGAACAAGTCACCGGTTCTCAGCCTCAGTTTTCACATTTGAAAAATGGTGCTAATAGCAGCCCCTGTGAGGCATCAATCAGGTCATGCATGCGAAGCTCCTGGCAGAGGCAGAGTGGGGGTCAGTACTCGCTGAATGAGTATAACATGTTAAACTGTTATTGTTACTAATTAGGAGGTTGAGTAGGGTAGGCTTGGGGTCAGGAGAAAGGACTTTCTAAGAATGAGAGCCAGGCATTCAGAGTGGGCTGACTTACCGAGAAGTGAGCTCCCAGTCTCTGGGGCTTTGCCAGGAGAAGCTGGAGGCCCCCGTGCCTGTTGAAATGTGGGAAGGGTTCCCACTCCTCTGGCCTCCCTACATGCCCTCTCCTGCCCACCTCCACCTCCCACAATTCCTTGGGACTTGGGCTTCGATGTGACTTCCTCTGAGAAGGCTTGCCTAACCCCAGGGCTGGACAGGGCCCTCCTCCAGCTCCCACAGGCCCCCGTGTTCCCCCTTCATGCTACTGATTGCACTGTGTCGTCTATTTTCACATCTGTGTCTTTTCCAAAACATCAGCCCTAGGAAGGCAGGGACCCCTTGGTTTTGTTCACCATTGTGTTCCCAGCACCAGCATTGGACCTGGCACTTAATAGGTGCTCAATGAATGTTTGTCAAATGGATGAAGCTTTTCAAAAGCTCCTTAGCTTTCCCATTCCAGCCTCAGAAGGCAGCGGTTCACAGGGTTAAAGGATATTCAACTCATAAAGGTGGGCTAAAGTCAGAGGCCTTTACCTTGTCAGCAAAGAGAAGACATTAAATGGCTTTGAGCAGGGGATTGATATGTGTTCGCTCATGCATTCATTCATTAACTCATTCAGCAAGCACCTACCAGATCTCTACAATGTATGAAGCTCTTTATTATGAGCTAAGGCTCTAGGATGAATCAGGCAAGATTTCTAGTGCTCAGCCCTTGGAGGAGCCGGTGGAAATATCTTTGTGTGTGTGTGTGTGTGTGTGTGTGTGTGTGTGTGTGTGTGTATTTTTTTAATGCCTCACTGTGCAGCTTGTGGGATTTCAGTTCCCCAACCAGGGATCGAACCCAGGCCCTTGGCAGTGAAAGTGCAGACTCCTAACCACTGAACCGCCAGGGAATTCCCTAGAATATTTTTGCTGAAAAGACCTTAAGAGATCATTTGGCCCCAAAACCTTCTTTACAGATTGGGGAAACTGAGTTCCACAGTTTCCACTGGGGCCTTTCCATTTACCACAGGATTCTTCTGTGCTTTTCGAGGACCAGGGCTGTCTCATTTGCCCTCATTTTGCCAGTGACCTGGAACCGTGCCTGATACACTGAAGGCGCTCAGGGATGTCTGTGGAGTCGAATTGTACAAGGAAGCCAAGGCCAGAGGGAGGGAGTGGGAGGCAGGCAGGCCAGAGAAGCAGGTGCAGGTGAGAGGTGATGGGGGTGGCAGTGGTGGAAGAACGGAAGAACGTGGGGTTGCAAAATCAGCTTAGCAAGGAGACGAGTCCAAATGTGGTGACTGTCTGGGTGTGGAAGAGAATTAAGAACAATGCCCAAGGTGTCTTGCTGGGGTGTTTCCGTGGATGGCAGTGGTATCCTTGAGATGGGGAACACGGGGAGCCTGTTTTAGGATGCGAGGCACTGTGCCAAGAACTCACTTAGTTCTGACTGCAACCCTGTGGGGGCTGTTACTGTCTTCATTTTACAGATGAGGAAACTGAGACACAAAGACGTTAGGGACTTAACCAAAGACACAGTAGGAAGTGGTGGGACCTGGATGTAAAGCCGGCAGTTGAACTCCCAGCTCTTAGTGATGACTACATCCTTATATCCACCCTTAAACACCAGGCTACCCCACCTTCTCTACTAATGCTGGGTTCTATTTTGCAAGTGTTGTTTAGATGCCCTGGGAGATCCACTTCACCCGTTTTGTGCCCTGGGCTTTTGTAACAGGCTGCAGTGGTCTCCCTGTCTCCTTCCCTGTTCCCCCCAAACGTTCTCCACACTGCAGCCAGGAAAGTTTGGTTTTTTTTAAAATAAATTTATTTATTTGTTTGTTTATTTACTTTCGTTGCTGTGAGCGGGCTTTCTCTAGTTGTGGTGAGCGGGGGCTACTGTTCGTTGCGGTGCGTGGGCTTCTCATTGCGGTGGCTTCTCTTGTTGCGGAGCATGGGCTCTAGGCGCACAGGCTTCAGTAGTTGTGGCGCGTGGGCTCAGTAGTTGTGGCGCACGGGCTTAGTTGCTCTGACACATGTGGGATCTCAGACCAGTGCTCGAACCCATGTCCCCTGCGTTGACAGGCGGATTCTTAACCACTGCGCCACCAGGGAAGCCCGGATATTTTTTAATATGTTTATGTTGTATGTATTTATTTATATGCCACGCCTCACAGTATGCAGGATCTTAATTCCCCGACCAGGGATTGAAACCGCACCCCCTGTAGCGGTAGCACAGAGTCTTAACCACTGGACCACTAGGGAAGTCCCAGGAAGGATATTTTAAAACACAGTTCTAATAATGTCTCACACACACACACACACACACACACACACACACACACGCCCCACCCCAAAATCCTTCCAAGGTCTACCATTGCTTTTAGAATAGAGACTGAAATTCTTACCTGGCTCGCAAGGCATGATTTGGCCCCTGCCCACCTTTCTAGCCTCATCTCTTACCAGGCCCTCTGTTCCCCAATTTCCGCCTTCTCTTGGTGTTCCAGCACGTTCTCCCACCCAGAGTCTTTGCACAGTCTGTTCTCGCTGGAATGCTCCCAGAGGTTTTTCTCCCCTCACATTCACCTAGTTAGCTCTAACTCAGGCTTTAGCGCTCAGCCCAAGTCCAGTCCAGTCCATTTTCATTTTGAAGTTCTTACAATTCCAGATCATTTTTCAGTTTGAAATTTTACATTTATTAGCATGACTCGTATGTTTATTTGATTAGTTTCCCCCACTAGACTGTGAGTGCCCTAAGGGCTGGAACCTTGCCTATCCCGTTCAACCCCGCATCCATTAGCACCAACCAAAATGCCAGGCACATGGAGGACGTGCAATAAATATCTGTTGAATGAGTGCGATCCAAATCGACAGGGCGGTTGGATTGCTAGTCGATGGCTCAGGAGAGAGATTTCTGGGCCGGAAATAAAGACTTGGGGGTCACTTATAAATCAAGACGAGTGGACGGGCTCGTCCAAGCGGTGTGCGGACTGAAGAGAACTGGTAACTAGTGCAAGATAAACTGTAACGTGGCTCACAGTCTCAGCACCAAGATGCCAAAGCTCTCCTCCGCTTAGCTGTGGCTCATGCCAGTCGCTGCCCGCCCTGGTTGTTTGAGGCCCATCCCTAAACTGCGGAAAAGGACCAAGTCAAACGCCCTCAACCGGGCCCACTATCCTCCAAGCTCAGCTCCCTGCTTCAGGCCTCCCTCCAATAGCTGAGCAGGAGCGTTTCCCTGGCA